TGCCGCCAAGTCTGTTGTCGCTATTGCGACGCACCGCCCGCGCAAGCTTGTTTCGGCATGGCTCTTCTTGAGCAGTTTCGTCGTCGCCTGGGACATCGGCTACATCCTCATGCGCCCACGCAGCTTCCTCGGCGGCGATCTGCACTGGCTCTGGTCGCCGTACTCGCTCTATATGAACATCGACTACGTCTATGGCCTGCCGTCCTGGGACGCCAAGGATGGATTCCCCGCAGCCCAGACGCTCATGAACGTCCTCGAAAGCATCCTCAACCTCTTCTATGTGTATCTCGTGCACGTGCGTGCGACTCCTTCGTCGCGGGCTGTTGCTCCTATCTACGGTCTAATCACCGTCACCATGACCCTCAGCAAGACCATCCTTTATGTGCTTAACGTGAGTTCACCTCCGCATTATGGAAGGGAAGCAGATCCACTGACATTCATCGCTCGCCTTGTTTTTGACGGCAGGACTACTGCTGCGGCTGGTGCAAGACTGGCCACAACGACTGGTACACGCTCATCGTCTACTGGATCCTTCCCAACGGTCTTTGGATCCTCTTCCCCGCCATCATCGCCTACGTCTTCGTCAAGGAACTCTCCACGACGCTCAAAGTGGCCGCCGGAGTTCAAGGTGCGACCGCCCCATCCCATTCACCATCCTCCGCTGCCATTGGCACCGTTGCTGCCGATGGCAACGGAGTCCAAGAGGCGGCGGCGGAAGAGGTACACAGTCTGGCAGCACACGGCTCTAACCCGTATCTGGTTGATCATTCGCAGCTCCCGAGCTGGGCACAGGACAACGCATGGATCGTAAGGGGCTACCGTCGCCCAGGAGGAGCACCACACCCCGATCCAAGCCTAAAAACCTTTGACCACGGCTCCGTCTACAAGTGCTGGCGCAGCATTTGGGCCTACTGGCACAACGAGACCGGTAAGTTTCTTTCCTCACTCATTCCGTCGAGGTCGGGACCTTGAAATCTGATGCGGCTTCGCTTTTCTCTTGGTCTGGGACAGTCAACATTCACTCACACATGTGGGGAGCTGTGTTCTCGGTGGGCCTGTCCTCTAGTCATCTGCTACAGCATCTCGGCCACCTCCCGAGCTTCATCCGACCTCTTTCGCACCATCCCATCTTTTATCCATCTAGTCTTACGTTTACCACCACGGCAGGCAAGGTGCTCCGCTTCGCATCTGCATCCTATCCCTCCGCCACAACCTCCTCTTCTGCCGTCCACAGTGCTGCCGCGACCCCAGGCTTGCTTGGTAAAGCATTCTCCTTCTTGTCTTCGTCATCCAGCGGCGCAGCAGGGCTCGCTTCCAAGGCGTCCGAGCTAGTTGTTCGCGGGCCGGACACGCTGGATGTTGCCGGCTTTACCGTGTTCTTCATTGGCTCCGTGGTGTGCCTGGGCTTTTCGGCCACGTACCATGCGATCCAGTGCCACTCGCACGGCGTCTCGAAGCGCTTCAACAAGCTCGACTATGTCGGCATCGTCGTTATGATTGTCGGCTCCTTCCTGCCCGCTCTGCACTATGGCTTCTACTGCCATCCCCACTTTCAGCTCGTCTACTCGGTCTCCATCACCACCCTCGGCGCCCTGGCGATGTACGTGGTTGTTGCGCCCTCGTACGCCACCCCCGCGTACCGACCGTATCGCACAGCTGTATTTTTGGTGCTGGGTCTTTCGGCAGTCATTCCGGTAGCGCACGTCGTGCAGATCTACGGATACCGCACCATCACCGAGACCATGGGTCTGCGATTCTTGATCCTCTCCGGTGCATTGTACGTCGTCGGTGCCCTGCTGTACGCAGCCAGGGTTCCGGAGAGGTTCGCGCCGGGGAGGTTCGATATGATCGGCGCGAGCCATCAGATCTTTCATATGCTCATCCTCGCCGCAGCTGCGGCGCACTACATCTCGATACGACGCGCCTACGCTTTCTGGCACACCGTCGAGGCGATGGGCCCGCTGGATGGCGGAAAGGCCGGAGTCTGCGCAGCGCTTCAAGCCTAAACCACCTGCAGTCGTGGGAAACATTGTAAACTAGCATTGCTGCTCATACAAACAACACCTTAATCGCGCAAAGGACCCAGACGATTGAAAACGGCACAAGGAGTCGCCAGGGCGGCAATTGGAGTGTTGATGTCGGGCTGGGTGCCGGGCGTGAGGTGTCCCGGGTGCTTCCGCTGTCGGCCTTGCCGTTCGAATTGGGACCGGTCGTGGCAGCCTTGGCGGGCTCAGCCATGTCGTGAGATTCGAGCCAGCGGTCGAGTTTGACTGCCAAGCCGTCGACTTTGGCGTTAAGCGCAGCGATGTCGCTCGCATTCGCCAACTCGGTGAGCTGCGCTGCTGTTGGCTGCGATTCATGTTGCCTAACCCGCTCTCGCTCCGAAGACACCGAGCTAGGCTCGCCCCTTTCCACGGTGTCCTGGGCGAGATCAAGGTCCGGAGCGCATGCAAAGGGACCGAGGGTGAGGAGGCTCATCTGTTGCAGCATAGCCAGCTTGCCTCGCAGCACAGCTTGCAGATGCCGCAACACCACTTGCTTGTCCGCGTCTTCGTGGCTGGGAGCAACACCGAACCCAAGCGGCGGGTTGGTAGGTCTGAGTGCCGAGACGTCCGCGAGTGAGAGCGGCTCCAACAAAACCTCTGCATCTTCTGGCTGTGCAGGGCTGCCAAGCCCAGTCATCGGCGACGAAACGAGCTGAGTCCACTCGAGCACGTCGGTCGAGGTGGGTGGAGCCACCTCCTGCTGCAATTCTCGCAGCATCAACGCCCTCTGTTCGTCATCCTCTCCGATTCCCTGCTCCAGAAGACTTGAAAAGTCGAGCCAGATCGAATGAAGCTGGGTCGACCACTGGACGAGTTTCTGATGCAGCTGAAACGATGGCTGCTTTCTGCGCACCTCTGCTTTTCCGAAGATAGTCGCGCGCAGTTCCGCCGAGACGAGCGTCTTGATCTGCTGGCCCTTTGGGAGCATCAGGACGTTGCCAAAGCCAAGATCGGGGCGTGTGATGGCGTCGGTCGAGTAGGAAGCCGCATCAACGACCGTCTGCGGTACACGCCAGTTGTGCGAGAGTCCCTCGCCGAACTCGTCTAGACTCCACGCAAGGCTCGTGGTCGGATCCAGAATCGCCGCCAGATTGTGCAGCAGGCCGAGCTCGGCCGCAATGGATCTGGCTAGAGGCAGCGAGATCCAAAGGTCGTCCCATGGTTCGAGGCCGGCAAGCGATACATCGTATGCAGTGGGCGTGAGACCGAAGCGCAACAGTCCCTGCAGAATCGTCAGCCCAGCAGCAGCCAGGATTGGGCAGAGGGTGATGTAGGGCACGCGGTGCTCGGGATCCAAGATGCGGGACACGGTGTGGTGAGGCGTGGAAGACGATGTTGAGGGCAAGTTCACCTCGAGACATGGGCACAACGAGCCGTTTGGCCGTCGGGAGAGGTGTAGCACAAACCGCAAGGGTGCGGGGCGTCGTGCTTCAAGTTGCTCCCACAGCACATCGGAGGGCGAACCGGAGTCCAGTTGATGTGGCCGCGGAGTCTTGGACGAGCCCGATCGCGGGCCACCGCCGGAAAGCCAGCGTCCTACTGCCATCCCGAAGAATTGGCTGTCAGAATAGGCGAAGCGGGCTTGCTGCCAAATTCAAAGTTCCGGTGGTAGTGTGGAAGGGTTCGAAGGTCACCTCCACCGAGTCTTGCCTCGCAGGTCGTGCGGAGGAAGAGAATCCCGAGACCCGCCACTCCTCGCCGCCACGAGGCGTATGAAAGCGCTCCCCGGAACACAAAAGCAAGGGTCCAACTTGTGTAGATGCATCGACACAGAATCCCAAACCAACAGGTGCCATTGACACAAGCACAACTCGGCTTAGCACGGTTTGCGCGTGAGGGACGGGTATCGAAATGAAACGACGGCAGCTATTGCCGCGATTCAAGACGCGTGCACACTCCGCCCACGACCACCATCACTCGCCCACATTCCCGAACGCCGTTCATCGCTAACTCCTTCCAATTGCGATGACACCCGAACAAGCCAGGGAAAAGATGACCCAGCAGCTCGTGTTGCGCAATGCTTCGAATGCAAAGACCCAATTGCCGACGCCACCGCAGACCCGCGTCTCGCAGGCTGTATCCACTCCGCCGCAGGCCAGCCGCGTCTCGCAGACTGTCGCCACGCCGCAGCCGCTATCTCGATCGCCCCTCACACTACTACCGAACGCGACCAATCAGCAGGTGCAACTCCACTTTGTACCGTCCAACAACTCAGCATTCGGATCGCCTTGGGACCAATTTTCCGTGGCATTTCTGATCAAAGCCATCCACTTCTATGACCCCGAACAGCACGGGGACGACTCGAAGAGGACGAAAGCATGGACTGCGGTTGCCAACGAGGTGCGGACAGCGCTTCAGACACATGGACTTCCTCGTCGCAACGCGAAAGAAATGATGGCGCTGTGGCGCGAATTGTCGTGGCACAGAGAGAACATTGAAATGTATAAAGATGATCTCTGGGAACCGCACTTCGACAAGTACGATCACGAAGTTGTCCGGATGATGGATGAAGTCATCCAATCTCACAGGGACCGAAAGTATGGTCGTTATTCGCAACCATTTTCTGTCGTACGTCAAAAGGCCCTAGCGGCCCGCGAAGAGAACCTAGCTTCACGCCGACAGCAGCAAGCGTTGCGTGACAGCATATCTAAGTGGTGTCCACCTCAGTTGACACCAACGAAGCAGGATCAGACCACAACTACTCCATCGCGCTCGGCGAGGCCGGAGACCAGCAACGATTCCCCGTCCGATGTGGTCGTGTACCGCAAGAGGCCCCGCGAAGCTGCCGATGAAGGGAAGGAGACCTCGTCGGACGACCCTCCCGCTGAGGCTCAACAACAAAGCGATGCGATGCTGCGGACCAAAGAAGCGGAAGTGCGCGCCATCGAAGACGCCAATGTGCAGAGGGGCGAGATGCTCAAGATCAAAGAGAAGCAGAAAGACGTGCAGAAGGAGCAGCTGGATGCGCAACAAGCCCAGCTGGATATGACCAAACAGTTGATCAAGATGGTCGAGGAATTGAAGAAAGAGATGCGCGATCTCAGGAACGATGTAGATCATGCTCAAGGTCAGATGGCCGAGGGTTTCAAGGAAAAGCTCCGCGATCTCAGGCACGAGGTAAGCCACACCCAAGGACAGATGGCGTTCATGGCTTCGATGGTCCCGGCCATGATCTCGGGGGGTGGCATGGCGGGTCGCGTCCCGCAGCCTTTGGCGAGAGCAACACCGTGGCGGGGAAAATCTCCGGACCCTGAAGAATATTGCGCCCCGACCGCCGAGTCGAGCACAGAAGCTGCAGAGTCGCCTTCCTCCTCGAAAACGCCGGGCTCACCACCAGCGCGTCGGGCGACGCGCGCCTCCACCGCCGCCAAGTGAGACACACACACACCTTCCATATTTGGCTGCCTCCACACTGCGACCTCGTCCATGCTTTCGTATCGCTACCGTATCGTTGGAATCAGAATGTACAGCTTGTTGTGTCTACCATTCGAACTTAGTGCGGGAGCTTGATATTGATTCCGCTGTCGCGGTGTTCCGGATCCGGCAGTACCCATGGGAGCACCAAGCCGCTTGGGCTAAAGTACTCGAAGAGTCCGGGTGGGTTGCAGCCCATGGCGATGCTGATCTCGTTGCCGCGCAGACAGGTAAGAGCATTCCAGAGGAGGGTTGCTACCTTGTAATCGGTGGACAAAAAGTCTCTGCCTATCTTGCAGTTGGGCGTATCGCACACGATGCCTCCGGCGCGCGGAGTCCAATAGTCTCGAAACCGACGCCAGCGGCGCGAGATGTTGCTGATGGACCACTCGAGTCGATCCAGGTTCTCCTCGAGGCCAATGCTCTGCTCTTCTGACAGCTTGCTGTTGTCGAAGGGCGACACGATGGCGGGCGACATGCCGTGCCTTTGCATGCCGCAGAGCACAAGCTGGCGACCGTCCTGGCTTTTGGCATGTTCTTCGGCCCAGTTGGCGAACGAGGTTTCGGCCTCGACATAGGGATCGTGGTGGAATCCATTGTAGGGCCCTTTGAGCCAGACTATACCGTCTGGAGTGAGGGTGACCTGCATCTTCCAGCCGTCCAGCCAGGTATGGCCTATGCGCACCCACCTCTGATCATCACGGTCACGCATTCGGGTTGGATCCACAGAGCAGTCGGTGCTTCCCCAATAGTTGGGCACGCCCGTTTCCCTGCGGAAGGCCGCTTCGTAGTAGTCCATTCGGCGCCGAGTGATAATGTGGTTGTCCGGGCAGCGGAGGTCGAGCAAATGGATCCACTGGCGGTAGATCTGGTGCTTGAGCGTCTTCATGATGCGCAGGCATCGGCCCTTGGACCAGCCGAATCGTTCTTCGAGGATGTCCAAGTCAAAGGCACGCAGCCAAGCTACATAGACCAGCAGCGCCGTCTTGCTATCCCAAAGATTTTCCTTGCCCGTCCAAATGGGGCTCAGCAGCTGCAAAGCCGAGTGGATACATTCGAACTCGAACACCGAGAGGCCAAAATATGAGAGGAACTTTTTGGCGCTGTAGGTGCGCACGATCTGGCGATACGAGATCGGCGAGAAGGTCGATTCGTCCCAAAAGCTCATAGCTGTGGCTGTTCCGAACAATAAGCGTGTCAGGAGCGGGCGCTGACAGCACAGTCGATGAGTCGGGTAGTCTCGCGGATGCAATGCGTCGACCAGGTTGGCAGTTGATCGAGGGCCAAGTGACCTTGAAAGGTAAGGTAACTTAGATCTTGTCAAGGTGCGAAGAGCGTGCCAGGATCAATGGTCTTGGTCGTGAGGACCTGACCACCGTGTCGACTCATTCAAGAAGTGCCGTGCTGGCAATAAACATCGTTTCCGAAAACCGAGTCGATGTCCATCGAGACGACCCAGACGACGACGAGGATGTTTCGGTGCGTCGTCTGGGTCTGTTCGCGTCGTTAGGGTCTGGATAAACTGGGCGCTCGGCTAGAAACTCGTGCATACAACTCATCTTATTTTGCTGCAGGAGGTTTTGGAATCATGGTGAGATTGAGATTGAGCTCAAAATCAGGCCTTTCGCCTGAGGATAGCGAGCGATACCAAACTCATCTCATCAAGGTCAGCGTATGAGATGAGTTTACCGCAAGGATTCCATCCAGAGGCAGTTTGCCAAGGCTGAAGTCATCCACATTCTCAGTCTCAACGTCAAACTCATTCTCTCCGCAATCCCAGCACACCCTGACAGCTTCACTAGGGCGATTTCGGTCTCCAATTTGGCGATAAGTTCAACGTTGGGTTGCTTCGTCTCGATGGGCTCCATGCACGCGTGCATGCATGTGCATCCGCCTGCATCATCGAGACGACCAGCCCATTCCAACGCGACGCCGTCTCGATGAAAGCCTTTGCCATTCTTCATTGAGACGGAATTCGCAGCCGTCGCGATGGTTGTCTCGATGGATTCGCTTGGAGTAGCATGTAATTCTGGCGAATCTCACACACTTCCGACACCGTCGTGCTTACAAATGGTGAGTATGAGTGTAGAATGAGCTGTTGAGACAGCAACGACCTTACCCAGATGGCGACAAGCAAGTACCACCACCATCTCAAGTTCCGGGATCAGATTCCTAATTCGAGACATCTACTTGGGCCGTGAACGAGCCAATTCGCTATTCCGACACCCAAGCTCACGGAGACGTGGATTCCATCCATACAGCGCAGATCGAGCTACTCCATCGTGATGAGAACCCCGTTCAAGCCCCGACCTCTCGACCATTCCAACACGACGGGCGTACCGAGACCGCCATACTGCCGCGCAAAACTTGATCTTGACTTTTGGCTGGAAAATGTGGCATTGCCAATCCAACAGACGTGAAGTGGGAACAAACGACGATCAACCAGGCAAGACACTGCATGGCAGCTTTGGCAGAGCGGTCAAGGGTGGCGAGACGTGATGCTTGCACACCGGTCTAGAAGATGTGACGAGCCGTTTGCCGGGAAAAGTCACTGCGTGTCCGTTAGAGGAAAGGATAGGCTCACTTTGCCTTTTTGCCGTCGACGGCTACGGTCTCTCTCCACGACTTGCGAGCCTTCCAGCCAAGCTCTTCCTCGCCGCTGCACCACCACATGCTCGCAGCAAAGCCTGGACCTCCGACGAGCGAGGCAACAATGAAGCCGGTGGTGGTCTTTTCCAGCCACGGCGAGCCGGCGGGCGCCTTGGCGATGGCCTTGTCGCACTCGATATCGAGAGGCGACCTGGGCTCTCCGCTGACTGGGTGGATAGCGTCATTGTTCCTGAACGTTGTCTTCTCGGCCGCCACGAGCAGAATGAGTGCCAGTGCGACGCCGCCGACGTCGCCGAGCCAGAAGTACGAGAATGCATCGAGCCTCTCGCCATTGACCCAGACGCCGCGGATGATGCGGTTGAGACCGAACCAGTAGATGAAGGCGGAGAAGGCGGCCATCTTGCGATAGTACGACCAGGTACGCTCAAAAGCGTAGCTGACACCCTCGGCATCGAAGCGGCGAATGACGCTGCGGGATTTGACTTCGTCGTTGACCTTGGGTGTGCGCAAGCTGAGCCACGCGATCGGGAGGTAGGAGAGGCCGGCAAACTGAATAGCGAGCGCGGCATGGTGCCACAGGGCGCCCTCGGGGTCGGCGAAGACGGCAAGAGCCACGGTGGTACCAAAGAGGACGTGCACCAAGTTGGCAATGTAGATATTCGACGAGGGCGTGGGCACGGGGAGCACCGAAGCCTTGGAGGCCTTCATGGAGCTGTAGGCTGCAGGAAGGTACACAAATGTGTAGAAAAGGCAGGCCCATGGACCGACGCCGGCAGCTGCGCCAATGATGTTGAGAGGCACAAGGAAGACGCCCGAGTTGAGCAAGGACTTGCGGTTAGGCGAGGCCGCCTGGAAGGAGAGGCGATAGGAAAGAGGGAGCGTGAAGGCGATCATGATGGAGAATAGGCCGACGTTGAGGCGCTTGGCCGTGTTGGCTTTGAAGAAGCCCATTGTGGTGCAGAGCGTGTTATCAAGCAGGGGCAGTGCGCCGTGGGAGAAGTCGGTGGGCAACTTTTGGCGCGACGGAAGATTGCACGACTGCGAAAGAGCACGAAGCTTGTTGTCCGGCGAGAGCAGGAATGCAGTGTACGTGGTAGCTGCAAAGGCCAGCACTCCGGCGACGGCCAGGGTCAGGATCGGAAGAATGGATCCTTTCGCCATCTTGATTGCACGGTCTCCAGCCTTGGTTCCAATGTAAAACTTGCGCGTGGGAGGAGCAGCGATCGTCGTGACCTTGTGTGCAGCTCCGAGGTATTCCAGAACAACGACAGCCGATCGAGAGGTCGCAAGGGGCCGTAAGGAGTAAAGACGGATGGGACCAGGGAACGGATGGATGGGGTCAGAAAGAAAGGATGCCGACGTGGAAAATTCCTAAAGTCGCAGTCGGTCAGTCAGTGAACGAGTGGACGGCTTCGTTCGCATTCCGCACGAGCATCCGGTGGAGTGCGGCTGATCCTGCGTCCCATTTTTGGCAAGTTGTTGCCTGCGTCGTGTGGACGTGTTTTTTCTGGACTGTGCTCGTGGACCGTGGCTGCATGGGCCGTGCATGCAGGAAAATGACGGTCTGGACGCTGTGAAAACTGGAACGTGCGTCCAAGGCAAGCTTTGTTTGGTCCGCATCCGCATCCGCTTTTTCTCTCCACTCAGCTGCTGCTGAGCACTGACGTATTTCGGCAATTTCTGTGCCTTCTCGTTCCTGCGCACGGTGGCGACCTTGCCCGGTCGCATTCAAAGAAAAAAAAACAAATGACCTAAATCTCGATTCGGCGTAACATGCTTGAAGATTGCGCAGGGCTCGGAGGTCGGCGTGCGCCGGGTGTTGGTCTCGGCGGGCAAGAGAAAGAGCTTGGCGCCTCCACTCTTTCTTGCGCAGGGGCAGCGGTGCGCAAGCGAAATTAACAGCGACCTGCGCTCAGCTCTTCCTCCTGCCTTGATGCCTTACTCCCATCATCTCTTCCATGTCCCTCCGCTTCTTCGAAAGCTGGAGAACAGTCCATTCTCGTCCCCAGCATGGTGCTCGGTCTCGGAAAATCTAGCAAGAAGAAGCAGGCCAAGGAGCAGCAGTCGCTGGCGGCTGCTGCTGGGCCCTCGACCCCTTCGTTCCCACAAGTGGGCGACCGCAATTCCTCCCGCCCAGCTGTCGGCGATGGCTCCAACGGCGTACCATCAGCACCCGTCTCGTACAAGTATGGCAACAGCATCTCCAAGTCTGTCGTTGACCTGGCAGGGCTGCCCATCAACGTCTTCGGTCTATCGCAGCTCACACCCGCACCTTCTCGCGCAAGCGCGCCTCCTCCGCCGCCCGTCTGCGTTGTCATCCACTTACACGGCCGAGGTGGCACGGCAGACAAGGAGGAAAAGATCGCGCGCCAGCTGTATGACCGCATCGCGCGAGACAAGGACAGATACCGCGCTCAACAAGAGGAGGGCATGGTCGCCACCTCGTCTATACAGCGCGACCACATTGTGGTCACTTTTGACGCGCGCAACCACGGTCACCGCACTACCAATCTCGAGGGCCAAAAGGCATGGAAGCAGGGCAATACGCAACATGCTATGGACTTGTATGGAATGATCGTCGGCGGCGCACGCGATGCCTCCTTCGTGGTCGACTTTCTCTCTTCTTACCTCTTCCCGCACGACGAACGCACGGTGGCCGAATGGGTCGTCACAGGCAAGTCGCTTGGAGGTCACTCGGCCTGGCATGTGCTTGCAAACGAGCCCCGCATCAGCATCGGCGTCCCATTCATCGGCATGCCCGACTACTCGCGTCTGCTCGCTTCACGCACACGCACCTCGTTTGTTGCCAACGCGCCTCCCTACGTGCCAGCCAGCCTCAAGACTCTGGTTGACAAGATCGATCCAGCCCAGACACCGTACGACAGTTTCGACGCGCGTCGCAATCCCTTTTGGGGAAAGAAGATCTGCGTGCTCAGTGGCGCCAACGATAAGCTGGTGCTGTGGGACTGGAACGAGGACTTCCTCAAGGCACTCGTTGTCGGCGAACCGTCAGGCCCCAAGGGCGAGATGCCGGGGCTCAAGATCCATCGTCGACCCGGCGTTGGCCATGAAGTGACCGAAGAGATGGTGGAAGAGGCAGGCGAATGGATCTGGCGGTGGGGCATCGTGGCGCCCGCATGATCTTGGCGAAGAAGGTCCGAAGCGGGTGCGTTTATCGGCCGAGTTGATCAGCCAGATTGGACTTGGACCGAGATGGAGGCGTCGACCAATGCAGTCGAGTTGTTTAGAAATCCAATTTTCGATTTCGGCACAGCAGCCTGAGCCTCACAGTCAGCAGCGCTGGTCGGACGGGCATGCGCTCTGAGCAGTGTGAATCGGAGACAGAGCGCGCATTCAACACCGGCTACCCGCTCGGAGCGCACAACCGGAGAGCCGCGCGATCCCCAGCTCGGCAGCATTAAGGCATACCGCCCAGCTGGATCGTCCCCAACCACCATCCACCATACCCTCCAAACCACTCCGCATTGCCTTTGCACTCATCCTGCTCTGCAGCTGCATTTCTCACTTTAATCCTCTCGTCCAGCCAGATACAAAGTTGTCCAAAATGGGAAAGCAGATCGACCTCAACGAGCTCAAGAACCACAAGTCGGGTACGTAGGCTGCAGCTCTATCTGCTGTGATTGAATGTGCAGGCGGTTGCTGACCTTCTCCTCCTGCTTCGCTCATTTGGGTATCTGCAACCCTGCATCATCCTTGCTTTTACTTGATGCATGCAGCCGACTCGGCATGGGTTGCCGTTGACGGCAAGGTCTATGATGTGACTGAGTTCCTCGACGACGTAAGTGCCCATCCTCCTGAGCTCAATGGCGATTGACACCCTTGCTGACCGTCTTCCACCTTGAATCGCCAAATCGGGCTCGGTTGACTAAACGCAGCACCCGGGTGGAAAGAAGATCCTGCTCAAGAACTGCGGCAAGGACGCTACCGAGGCTTTCTGGACCTACCACGGCGAGAAGGTGCTCGAGAAGACCGGCAAAGACTTTGAGATCGGCGAGTTCAAGGACTCCGCCAAGCTCTAGAGGCCTTTGTATGCGCATTCATCGATCCTCGGCACAAGTAATACAAGCGCCAGACGCGCACTCATCTGGAATCGATTCGAGAACTGTGAGCTTCCGTCCGCGCAGCCCTACTATGGGTGTCTCTCGAGACTCTGCTGCCATGTGAGACTCCGTGGGAAACGGTGGCAAAGCTGTTCATCGAGAAGTTGCTGCGTCAGAGGAAAACGGTGCAGCCAAGGGCACTTTCAGCGTGGCTTGGGGTCGCACTCCTCAGATGGCTTTTTGCGGAGAGAATCATAAGATCGCAGTATCTGATCGAGCGTGCGAGCTGCTTTGGACTGCATGGCGTTTGCAATCGAGTGTGTGAACAAGCCCATAGTCAGACCGAGATCCCTGCTATGCTAACCTCATCGGTTAGATAGCGGCATGCGGCTGAATTTGCCGGTCATGCTCCGCATTCAGGGTCCACGGCTTCAAGCCACGTCCGTTTCTTTTTCTTCCACTAGTCCAATTGGCCCATTCGCAAGCAGTCTGATTCCGGTTGCCTCACCTCGACCACGAAGCTCCACAGCATGACGACATGACAAACACAGAACCGGCGGACACCTCCGCCACCAGCGCAGCGAGCGCCAAACGGGCGGCGTGCTCGCAGTGGACCCACAGCGACCGGATCAAGCGCGAGTCGAGACACATCTTCAACAAGCTGCACAGCATCGCCGCAGATGCCGACTTTGTGCGCCGAATTCACCATCGCCACCCTTCCCTGCTGGTCACGGCCAACCTGCGCTGTGGAGCTTGGTACACCGATCCGGCCATCACGTCGGCCGTGTCGTACTTCAAGTCCACCGACGGTCACACGCACCAGTGGAGCTTTAGCTTGAAGCGCTCCAACCTACATGTGGTCCCCGCCATCTTGCGAGCAGGCGGGGCCATCGTTGTCGACTCGACGCGCAGAGGGAAAAGCATGCCAGATGCTCTTAGCAAGACTATCCCCGTCTGGTGCGCGGTGCTCAACGCGGCATCGCAGAGAAAGTATGGAGTGCCTACTTCGGAGTCGGAAGCATTCGGATTGCATACGCCAACATGGATGATCCCTCCATCAGAACACGATCAGATCCGGGCTCGCATTGACGGCTTCGTCGCAGCGCTTTTGGACTCTGACCTCGATGTGCCCAGGCTCGACAAGCCGCTCCAACCGATCTTTGTCACGCCGCAGACCGACCTCGACACGCTCCCCAGCTCGCTTGCCAACGCGACTGCGACGGAGATTGTGCCCATCGTATTGCTGTCCGCATCGAGATTCATCTCTGACTCGGCGAAGCTGGACTCAAACCCGACTGAAGGGGCAGAGACAGACGCCAAGGGCTTTGTGTATGTGCAGGGCGCAGGTGACGACCACGAGAATTGGGCTCGAGGCCTCACGCCAGACCTTTTTTGGCAGCACAACGAGGCTTTGCTGGCGTGCGAGAAGGACCTACTGGAAGAGGCGGTCGACAACCTGGTAAAGCATCATTCAACTGCGAGTGGCAGCAGCGCACACTGGTTCACACCTCGCGCTGCAGGATCCGAGCCGAGCGATGGAGCCGACGCTGCCGACCGACTGGCAGGTACGCCAGAAGGCGATGTGGAAGTTGGCGATACTGGCATCTTCATCGGGGCACGCACAGCTGAGCACGACTTTTCACCGAACGAGCGGACGCTGTACAATCTTATCGTTCATTTCACCAGCCTTCCATCCCCCGCTGGCCTTTCGGATTTCTCTTCCGACCTTGCGGCGCTCGATGTTTCCGATTCCGATGCAACGTCCAGCGTCTACCCACTACACATGTCGCCAAACAAGAAAGGTCTCCTGGCCATCCGCACGGCATTCTCGCCGGCGATCGCGCGTGCTTACCGCACACTGGTCGATCCAGCAAGCGCGGTAGGAAGTCGGCCAAAGATTCTCGTGTGCTGCCAAGACGGTAAGGATCTGTCGGGCAGTCTTGTGGTTGCGATCCTGGCAGCATGCTTTACAGACTCGCGCCAGCTCATCACTGCAGATGAATCCAAGCGCGAACACGAGCTGGCACTCACCAAAGACACCACACGGCGCCGGTTGCAGTGGCTCGTCAGCGCCAGCCCGCGTGCAGCACCAAGCAGGGCATTCCTGCTGCGCGTCAACGAGCTTCTTCTCAGTCACAAGCACAAACCAGCACCAACATAGAATCATCATCTACATCAATGTAATTCTATGCATCGACCCGGGTGCTGTTGAAAGGCGAACTAGAAGCCACCGCTGAGGTTGTGTCCGTGGTCGTCGCGGATGCTCTGACTGCTGCCACTGGGGCTGTCCGGCGCAGACGAGTCGGACTCGGTGTCGGATTCGGCGGCGCGCGTTTCGCCGAGCACCATGCGTGCGCGCTTGCGCTTGTTCTTGGCCTGCGCGATGTCGGGTTCCGCTTCGGCCTCGGCAAGTGCAGGCTGGTCCAGGTCGCGCTCGGCGTCGAGTCGACGTGCGCGGTTCTTGATCTCCCTCGCGTGCATCCCAGCACGGCCGGCTGCAGACACGTCGATCTGTGTCGCTTTCGAATGCAGCAGCTGCTCCTCGACTTGGCCACTCCGGCGAGACACCTGCGCGGAGGTGGGTCGAGTCTCGCTACGCTTCTTTGCCGGACGTTGTTCACCGTTCGGTCCACCCGACTTGGCTAGCATATCTTCCTCGACATATAGCATCAAGTTGATCACTCCCGAGTCGAGAGTTTTGATGGGCCGAACCTTGGGTACCGCATCGACACCTTCCGGCGTTTGCTGGCGCGTTCTCTGCCCTCGACCCAGATTCTCGTTATCGGCGGGGATCCAGTCGCCTGTGTTGGGCTCGTTTCGATCTTTTCCGGTGGGAGAAGTGTCCTCGTCGTTCATTTCGAGCACAATGGCAAACGTGAGTTCGGTGGCAGCATTGGCGTCGGGGCCATCGCCAGCTTTGGAAGGAGGAGCAGGTGGGATGTCAAAGAGGATGCCATCGACGACCATGAGCTTCTGCATGAATCCGCGAAAGATGAGTTCGAGCTCGGCGCTCGTGACATTGCTCGAGATCGCAAGATCTCTATCGCGCAGATCGATTGCCGATGACGGGAGGATGTAGTCCAGGCTGAAGATGAAGCGCTCGTACGCATCCGCTGCGTTCGCATCGCTTTCATTCGTCGATTCACTGGCGTTGTTACCGCATTGAGCATCAGCCACGACGTTGGGACGAACGACGAGAATGACCTTGCTGACGCTCGACCGTTCGATCTCGCGCCGGAGCGCGGCGAGCACGCGCGAGATGTACTCGTTCAGGCCGGGATGGCGCGACTGATAGCAGGGGTGGCTGTACTTTTTACGCCGCGCGAATACATCGAATGGGTAGACGGAGCGTAGGCATAAGATCGTGTGGAAGGCCACCTCGAGAAAGTCGATGATGCCCGAGATGAGCTGATTGTAGGTGAGCGGCGAGTCTTGGAGCAGGTCGCGAGGAGGTACGCCGTCGCGATCCGGGTCGATCTGCCTAGCCTTTCCTTTGTCCATGACTGTTGATCGTGCTATGGCGCTGCCATTTTGGCCTCGGTCTGCCGCTTCTATGGCGAGTGCAGGTCCAGCAGCAAGATGGATGGAGCCGAAAGGTGTTGTTCCGGCTGAGCTCTTGGGCGGCTTCAGGGTCCAACCGCCGTGGCGTGTCTGGATCGCCGAATCTGTGCCGATCTGACCCGATCAAAATCCCTCCACTTTCAAGAGCGGAGGAGGGTTCAAGAAGAAAGGTTGACGGCTTCCTCCTCCTACCCTCTTCCACTCCTCCAAACCCTGTCAACGCCGGCTTCCGTGTGACATCAACGCATCAGTCAGGCACTTCACAAGTCGCTCACGTAGGATGTGGGCTGTTTCTTCGTCATCGAGTGCAGCAAGGCACATTGCTGCTGGCAGGGCATGCTCCAGCGGCTCCGCTTCTGTCACTAGGGTGTTACGGTCGGCATATCAGACCACACGGCTGGCTTCAACATCAGCGGCTGCGGGCCCCAGCACACCGCCCGTGATCAGGGAAGGTGGAAAGATCCGACGCTTCTCGTCCCCGAAAGTTCGCAGACACCTTGGAGACAAGCCTGGACCGAGCGCAACTCAGAACAAGGCGGTCCCCTTGGACCGCACCGACAAGCGACCCGAGTCGCGACAGAGGCTATCTGGCTTTTCGAAACCTAAAAGCAATCGCCGTGGTAGGAGCCTGTACAAGTCAAAGCAGAGCTTTACCTTCAAGCTTTCCTCCTCCTCTAGCGATCCTCACACGCGAAACGCAAGTGCTCAATCCACCTCCGACGACGTTTCGTCGAGCAACCAAGATCCCCCACATCGGGAGGGCTCGGCTTCTATAAAATCTGAAGATTCAGGCCAAGGCGCGAAAGTTCAGACCGAGACACCGGATCAAGAGGACGGGGAGAGCGCAGCAGGGCTTTCGGAGACTTCAGGGACGGATCCGCCACCAAATGATCAGCTGGTGACCGCAGAGGAGCGCCTGCGTGCGTTTTTTGCGGCCAAGACGGGAAGACCTTCCAGCACCTCGCTCAAGGCGACCTTGGCAGAGGAATCAGGAGAAGACTGGTCGTCGACGTACCCGATAGATCAAGGCTTGCAGCTCGATTCCATCACGCTCGATGATGCTGCCAGTCAACCGGTTGCTTCCTTCATTGAAGAGACAGCCCCTCCCACTTTTTCAAGGCCCAAACTTGCCGATCTGCAGCGGGCTGGGCAGGGCGACGAGTTCATCGGACTTTATCGATCCGACACCGTATGGGATCCCAACAAGGAGTACGCCATCATGCCCGATGGTCCTGAGCGCACGACGATCGTGGCCAAGGTGCTGGATCGGGCGCCTGCACAGCACATCATGGTGATTCTGGACGGCGACAATCTGCTTTTCGCGCCACGCCATATGAACGAGGGCTATGCTGGCGGCAAGTTTGTCTACAACGAGCTGCGCGAGCGGATTGCCAAGAAGCATCGTCTCAACCCGCAGAACTTGGACCTGCGCATCCACGTCTTCAGTGCGCTGAATTCACTTGCCACCGTGCTCAGCAAGGCGCGCGTCATGCGTAAGGATTTTTTCTTCGACTTTATGCAGGGTATCATCGACAGCGGGCCGTACAACTATGTGATCAATGTGGGCAAGGCGGATCAGGCTGCCGACATTCGCGTCAAGGCGGCGCTCGCCGATGCGATCCGCGATCCGCGTTGCTTCCGCGCCTATCTTGGCGGTTTGGACGACTATGGGTACAAGGAGGACCTCAATCTGATTCACGAGCGCGGCTTGCTCGAGAGCAAGGTCAACTTGATCCAGGTGCCCGGTTTCGCGCGCGATTCGAACGTGTACAAAGCATACGCGCATCGAGCGATCGATCTCGACTATCTGTTCAAGAACCAAATGATGGCTCTGGAGGACATGCAGCGATACGTGAGCACCGCCATGCCGACTTCGCTCGTAGCGTTGATGAATCCAGACTGACAGCCCCTGATGTTGCCCCCTGACCGCCTACAGGACGAGGAAGCGTTCAAGACAGAAGACACGGTGGTGAAGGCGGTCTCGAAAGTCCCTTGTGCCTTCCACCACTTGGTCAAGGCGGGCTGCAACAGTGGTGACTCGTGCCAGTACTCGCACGAGCCTATCTCTGACAAGCACAAGAAACGCCTCCGCGAACGGTACAAGCAGCGCAAGTGCCCAATCGTGATGAGGGGGGAACAGTGCCACTTTGGCGAAGACTGCCTCTTTTCGTAAGTGCAACAATATTCCGCAGGATAGGGCCGGCGGTCGAGCGTCTTCGAGGGTCACAGTGTGAGGGAATACCCACTCTGCCACACGCCGTTCGCCTGCTCGCGTTCCTCCATACGCGGCATTGACCACACTCGCTGACTTTCTCTTGCTTTGGCCTTCTCATGCTTTGGGTTGCGTCTTTGCAGACACTGAAGCTTTTTTTGCACGGACACTATCTACAGTCATCCCAAGCGTCAGCATCTGACGGTCTGCTCGCGCGCACAAAGATGGTGTTACAGTATCAGTGCACTCGGAAAGGTCCAGTGCCAAGGCTCGGGAGCGACAGACGCGAAGAGAGGTGGATGCCATGTGACACCAGGAACGAGCCTCGCCACAGGGGCAACGTCGGTGCACCGTGTCGTCAGGCATCATGACCAAGGGGGCCCTGAGAGGAGCCTCGCCAGTGCCACGTGTGATCACACCGAGGTCTTGGCAGTCCTCGTACTTCTTGCTCATGACTTTACGGCACGCAACGACGCGATAACCTCGTTGCGGAGCTAAGCCGGCGGGCAGAACTCTTGGCGTCGTGCCTCGCGGTGTGCAGTCATAGCATGTCAGCCAGCCCGAAGCGGCCTGCCAAGACAAGATCGTTCGCTCCTCCACGAGCGCTGAGCGGAGCGACCTCGGACGAGGCCGGTAAGGCTTCGCTGTGGTGAATGAAGGCGCCGGAAGCCTGCGGCATCGCTAAGCCCACGCACCTCTGACCGATGAGCCGAGGTTGTCCAGCCGCAGACTAGCGACCCTGAGCTCAGACACACTAAATTAAACCCAAGTTTGGAATTTGACGACGTGAGCGGCACGCAGAGCCTAAACTAATTCTCCGAGTGTCGACAGAGAATGCGGAGTCAGGCACTGCGTCACTCACACGGTCATATCGGCCCTTTTCTCCACACGCCAAGACATTCGTACGGCTTGCGTCACTAAATCTTCTAAATTCGAGGCACAGGAAGAGAGCAAGACTGGGTGGTCTTGGCAACCTCCCTTGGCGCTTAGTTGCAGCGTCAAGACAGCGCTTCTGCCTCAGAAACGGTAGAACCTTTGGAGCACGTTTGCTATGGCTCAGTTTCGTTCCTGCACTCCGGCTCTTGGCAGATTGCGTATCGGCCCGGCGTCTTTGCTGAGTGCGTATGCCCCCTGCCTCTCCTCCCGACGCTGCCCTTGGCCGCCTGCGAAGGCGCGTCGGAAGATATTCACCGCGATATCTGCCTGCAGCTCCTGGTACCACAAATTTCTTGGCCGCAGCACGCAGAGTCGACGACGTCGGTCGACTCTGGCACCTATTGCCTGATGACGTGCCGAGCATCCTGACGCTCTCCTCCTGCCTGCGTCTGGCAACGTGGCCAATGCTGTACTGTATCGGCGAGCCGCACATGAGACACGATGCCTGCGGCTACGTCTTTCTGCTCACGTTCAAGCCGGATGGCGCATGAGTCCGCCTTGGCCAAATTCGCGCACCACCAGCCTCCGCAGTGCCCCGGTTGGTTTGATATCGCCATCCGCATTTCTTGGCATCCCGCAGCCACTGTCGGAACGCACTTGTAGTCAGCTTTTGTACCTCGCCATGTCCACCGACACTGCTCCGGTGCCCGGCGCTCTTCGACAGCTCTCTAACAGAGGTGCTCCACTCCCGCTCGTGATCATCGGTGGCCGCCCACGTTTCTCACCAGGGGACACTGAAGCCATGCCTGATCTTCTGTCGTCGTCTGGCGAGCCTTCGGTCTTGGCACGCCGCCTCCGTCGTCTTCCAGGGTCCCCCCTTCGCCTCGCTCTGGCGTGCTCGTGCTTATCGTCATCGCCAGATCAAAGATATATAACGTCCAACCTCCGGCGGCTTCTTCTTCCTCCCCCTTCTTCTTCAACAGCTCTCCCTCAAGCAAGACGAGCAAGCAACATCCAAGCCACGCTCTTCCCCCCTGCCCCTTTGCACTTCGCTGGTCGACCTACCTGTCTGCGATAGGCGACACAGCACACTCACACCCGCGCAATCTACCCAGCGCCCAAAACCAAGGCCACCGCCAACCCCCTTTCGTTGACCACCTCCCCCCTACAGGCTGCCCATCATGGTCAAGAGAGAGGAGGAGAAGTTCCCCCGATCCGACACCATTCAGGGTCCCGACATCCCCATCGAGGATGCGCTCGAATCAGCATGGCAGTTCCACTACACCAGCGTCATGCGCGCTCTCGGCGTAGAGGATGCAGAGCACGGTCTCAACAAGCGTGACATCGAGTCGCGACGCCAGCAGTATGGTCCCAACCAGCTCGAAGGCGGAGACGAGATCAGTGTCTGGAAGATCGCCCTTCACCAGATCGCCAATGCGATGACCTTGGTCCTTATCCTTGCCATGGGTGTCTCCCTCGGCATCGGCTCCTGGATCGAGGGTGGTGTGCTCGCTGGTGTCGTCGCCATCAACATCATCGTTGGCTTCGTCCAGGAGCTTTCCGCAGAGAAGACCATGAACGCGCTCCGCAACCTCGCCTCCCCCACTGCTCGTGTCATCCGAAACGGTGACGGAGAGACCATCTCGGCCAACGAGGTCGTCCCCGGAGACATCATCGAGCTCACTACCGGTGACACTGTCCCCGCCGACTGCCGTCTCATCGACTCGATGAACTTTGAGACCGACGAGGCTCTCCTCACGGGCGAGTCGCTCCCCGTTGCCAAAGACCACACCCAAGTCTACTCGGCCGCCGAGGAGGTTGGTGTCGGCGACCGTCTCAACATGGCTTTCACCTCTTCCACCGTATCCAAGGGCCGCGCCACGGGTGTCGTCGTTGGCACCGGTATGAACACCGAGATCGGCAAGATCGCCGACGCCCTTCGCGGCGCCGCCAAGGCGCAGAAGATTCGCGACGTCAAGCGCAATGCCTACGGCAAGGCCGGACCCCACCGCTACGTCCAGGCCGGTGCTCTCACCGTCTGGGACAAGGTCAACAACTTCCTCGGCACCAACAAGGGCACTCCGCTTCAGCGACGTCTCTCGCAGCTCGCCGTCGGCCTTTTCTTTGTTGCGGTCCTCTTTGCCATCATCGTCTTCCTCTCGAACAACTGGACCGACAACGAGGTCATCATCTACGCCGTCGCTACGGGCGTCTCCATGATTCCCGCCTCGCTCACCGCCGTCCTGACCATCACCATGGCCATGGGCAGCAAGGCCATGGTCAAGAAGAACGTCATTGTCCGGAAGCTCGAGTCGCTCGAGGCTCTCGGATCCATCAACGATATTTGCTCCGACAAGACCGGCACGCTCACGCAGGGCAAGATGGTCGTCCGCAAGGCGTGGGTCCCCGCTTCGGGCACGTACAGCGTCTCGGAGACTAACGAGCCCTTCAACCCGACCCTCGGAGAGGTCAGTGTCAACAACGTTGAGCCTCGCGATGCAAAGACTGCTCGTGACTCGATCGAGGACACCGGCGAGATTGTAGCCCGCAACGGCCAATCCGACAAGGTCAAGGGCAACGACCGCTTCGAGGACTTCATGAACGTCGCTTCGCTTTGCAACCTGGCCAACGTATTCAAGGACAAGGAGACTCACGCATGGACTGCTCACGGTGACCCCACCGAGTGCGCCATCCAGACGTTTGTCACGCGCTTCGCATGGGGCCGTCTTCGCCTGACCAAGGGCAAGAACCCTGACAAGGAGGTCACCGAGAAGGACCGCGACGCCGCCAAGTGGACGCAGATCGCCGAGTACCCCTTCGACAGCTCCGTCAAGCGCATGGCCGTCACCTACGTCAACAACAAGACCCACCAGGGCTACGCCATGATGAAGGGAGCCGTCGAGCGCGTCCTCGAGTCCTGCGTCAAGGCACAGACCGACGAGGGCCTCGTCGACTTCAACGAGGACTTCGAGGCACGCGTGCTGGCCAACATGGAGGCTCTCGCCTCTCAGGGTCTCCGAGTGCTCGCCCTTGCTCACCGCGAGATCTCCGACAAGGAGAAGGAGCAGGGCGAGGAGCTCGAGCGTGCCGATGTCGAGTCCAACATGATCTTCCTCGGTCTGGTCGGTCTCTACGACCCCCCTCGCCCCGAGACCGCAGGCGCCGTGCGAAAGTGCAAGGAGGCCGGCATCACCGTCCGCATGCTGACTGGTGACCACCCCGGCACCGCCAAGGCCATCGCCCTCGACGTCGGCATCGTCCCGCGCAACACCACCAAGTTCTCCAAGGCAGAGCTCGACAACATGGTCATGACTGCCGCTCAGTTCGACAAGCTCTCTGATGCCCAGATCGACGCGATGCCCCAGCTCCCGCTCGTTATCGCTCGCTGCGCACCTCAGACCAAGGTCAGGATGATCGAGGCTCTGCACCGCCGCGGCAAATTCTGCGCCATGACCGGTGACGGTGTCAACGACTCGCCCTCGCTCAAGATGTCGGATGTCGGCATTGCCATGGGCATGAACGGATCGGATGTCGCCAAGGACGCTTCGGACATTGTGCTTACGGACGATAACTTCGCTTCGATTGGTAATGCCATCGAGGAAGGTCGACGCATGGCCGACAACATCACCAAGTTCGTCTGCCACCTGCTCGCCCAGAACGTCGCTCAAGCCTCGGTTCTGCTCATTGGTCTGGCTTTCAAGGACGAGACTGGACTGTCGGTCTTCCCTCTGTCCCCCGTCGAGATTCTGTATGTCATCATGGTCACCTCCGGATTCCCTGCCATGGGTCTTGGCATGGAGAAGGCTTCGACGGACATCATGAAGAGGAAGCCGCGCTCGAACAAGTGGGGCATCTTCACCCCCGAGATGCTCATCGACCTTACGGTGTACGGCTTCTGGATGGCGGCGCTCTGCTTGGCCACGTTCACGCTCATCACGTTCAACTGGGGCGACGGCAACCTGGGCGTCAACTGCAACTCGGACTACAGCGAGTCGTGCGACCTTGTCTTCCGCGCGCGTGCCGCGACGTTTGCCGTCATCACTTGGTTCTCGCTCATCCTTGCCTGGGAGATGGTCGACATGCGCCGCAGTCTGTTCAACATGCGCGACGATGCACGCTGGTACAACCAGTGGCTGCGCGACACCTGGAGGAACAAGTTCCTTTTCATCTGCGTCGTCGGTGGCTTCTTCAGTGTCTTCCCCATCCTCTACATCCCCGGCCTTAACCGCGTCGTCTTTTTGCACGATGGCGTCAGCTGGGAATGGGGCGTCATCATCGTCTGCACCGTTCTCTTCGTCGGCGGTATCGAGGCTTGGAAGTGGGGCAAGCGCGTCTACTACCGTCGCACTGAGGTTGACACTGCCAAGCTTGTCGACGAAGAGGCGGGTGTCGCGGACGAGCACGACCGCACGCCCGTCGACGGCGAGAAGAAGCAGCACAGCAACGAGCACAGCAGGAAGATGGTTTCTGCCCCCACCACGTCGTCCGAGACGACCGCCGTGCACCAGATGGCCTAAGTGCTTCTGTTCGCCTATGAGCATCAATCAGCATCTCTCTAGCATCGCACTCATCTCTGCCCTGTTTTGTACATTACACTCTTCGTCTCAGCATCGTTATATCGAAAAGCATCTCCCGCTTTGCAAATAGAAGGAACCAACTGGTCATTGCAACCAATCTCGTCGCAACGCCTGCCTTGCAGCAACAGAGTGAGTGGACTGAAGAGTCCTGTGCCGATAACAAGTGGAAAAATATAAAAAATAGAATTGAATTGAGGCAGAAATTGTGGCTCGAAAAAGCCGGCATTGACACCGGAGCTTGTGAAACGGCGAGCACCGGTCTGTGACCGCCGAGTGACATGGTGAGAAAAGGTTGTTGTCAGGGCTTGAGCACGGTAAGGCCCATCTTGGGCTGCTGCGCTACGCTTTGCAAGGGCGCGAAAAAAGCAAGCGCTTTGACCTACCGTTGGAAGCGAGGGCATGATTAACGGAGCACCTTGGCCCGAGGTGGCTGGGTCGTTTCATGCGAACCTTCTCAGCCCTAGTCAGCGGCGGATTCCTGTGGTGGCAAGAATCATCCCTGATGAGGTGGGTTTGGTATGCTCGGGCTCGTCGATGACTGCCATGATCAACTTTTGCTGCTTCTTGGAAGCGCGGCTTTTGGATGCGGTGCCTCATGGTCGGGGCGCCGTGGGCCGCCGGCTGGCTGCAGGGTACGGTGTCTTTTGCATGCTTGGCCGAGCCCAAATTCTAGAAACGCTTCCCGCGGAGACGAAGCTCGGCAGCGTTGGTAGTGGCTAGCGCCTGCTCGGCTGAGCAGCACTTGTGCTTGCGCCTTGCTCTCCGCAACAACGGCCTTAGCCGAGTCTGTGTTATCTGGCCCCTTCACGATCCGGCATCGGATCCCTGCCTGTGGATGCAGCGAGCTGCCCGGCAATCAGGCAACGCACTGACTCCTTCAGAGATGGCTGAGTATCCGTTCGCTCGGAGTCACAAAGGTGCGAACAGTCTCTCACTGACTTTGACCCGCTTTCCATCAACCCACCAGGCCGGGGAATGGCATCTCCGGCACTTGTACCATCTCGTCTGAACTGCACAAAGGTTATATGAAGCGCACCTCGCAGCATATCCGCACCATCCGCACTTCATCAAGTAGACGCCATGACCTACACCGCCTTCTGCGGCGATGACGGCCGCTTCGGCCCTGTCTCAACCTGCAGGGCCTTCGACTTTACGCTTCGATTCGAGAGCAGCATCCTGTCGTTGCTTCCCAACGCCCTCTTCGCCAGCATCGCTCTTGGCCTCATCCTGTACACCTTGCTCTCGCGCAGGAGATATGTACAGCTCTCTGCTGTCCGTCCTGCCTGCGTTCAGCATCGCGATGGCGGCGGCATCCTCCTCGCGCTTCTCCATGTCGCGCTTGTGGTCACACTCCTCAGCCTGGCTTCGCAGAATCTGCACGAACAAGGCACTCTCCTCGTGCCATCCCTAGCTCTAGAGACCCTGTCGGCCTTGATCATCGTCTGCACGTTGGCGTTCCATCGGCCCGCACGTGCTACGCCAATCGTCACCTTGCTCAGTGCCTTCCTCCTGTTCAGCTCGCTCTTCGCTGCGGTGCAGCTGCGCACCTTCTACTTTGTCACGGCGGCACGTCGATCTGCATTTCTGCCCATCTTTGCGGCCGACTTCGGAACCAGGTGGCTGCTATTCCTCACGCTATCAACCAAACCCTTCGATCCACGAAAGACATCCGAGGAGCGAGCGAGCTTCGTCTCGAAGATCTTCTTCATCTACTTGCTGCCCTCGCTCTGGCGAGGAGCCATGAAGCCGATCGAGCTTGACAATGTCGAGCCGCTCGCCGACTCGTATGCGTCTCGCACTCTCGAGGCCGAGCTGTACCGTCAATGGCACGCCAGCGCGGGAGACCCGTCGAGCCTGGGCTCCTCCGAGAATGAGGCTCACGGAGACTTGGCGTACATGGATGCAGAAGTCAAGTCAAGCCACAGCCTTTCTGCCATCGAGCTGGCCAGTCGTGGCTCTGCTGGCGCAACTTCGGGTCCAGCCCGCTTATCGTTCTTGCCGCGACATCCTTCGATGCAGCCCAAGCTTGTCCATGCATCGCTTCGCGCCTTTGCGGGTGTTCTGTTCAGCCCTCTGCCATCCAAGGCGCTGTACACCGTCATGGTCCTCCTCCAGCCGCTTCTTGTACAAGAGACGCTCGACTTCATCAGCTCTTACTCTGACCCAGCTAAGGAGCCCAAACCAGCAGCGTACGGATATGGCATCGCGGGGGCGTTCTTCCTTCTCTTCTTGCTGCTCGCACTGTCCCAGGGGCATTTTACCTTTTCCATCTACAAGACGACGTGTAAGCTGCGCGGTGCACTCGTGCAGGCAGTGTACGACAAGACGCTCGTGCTCTCGGTCGATGCACTTCAGGACACGGACACGCCTTCGCCCACTGTGATGCAGTCGGTCGACATCGAGCGCATCGTCGGAGGTCTCGATCCGTTCCACGAAATCTGGAGCGCCGTGGTGATCATCATCGTGGCTCTCTATTTGCTCTGGCAGCAGATCGGTCCAGCTCTGGTGGCGACGATCGTTGCTCTGGCTGCGCTATTTGCTTCGATCCCACTCATGACCAAGGACGCCAAAGTGAATCAAGAAAGGTGGAGCAAGCTGACCGATGAGCGCACGAGCCTCACCTCGGCCGCCATCAATGCCATCAAGGCGGTCAAACAGTCTGCGCTCGAGGGCTTCCTGATCGCCAAGCTCGTCAACATCCGTAAACGTGAAGTCAAGGCGCTCGTCAGCTACGTGGCGAACCTGCTCTGGATCTCGCTGCTCGGAAATGTCGCTGGCGACATTCTTCTGCTAGCCACCATCACGACGTTCGCCGTGATCTCGGCTTTGCACCACAACGAAACGCGGTATCCTTTCAATACGACCACGGTCTTCACTACGATCACCATCATCCGTATCATCGAACGGCCGTTGTTCATCATCGGCCGAAGGTATGCGAGTGTCATCTCGGCGGTCACCTCGCTCAAGCGGCTGCAGACATTCTTGCTGCTTCCCGAGCAGACGCCAGGCGAGACTGCTACGACGTGGTCCCCTCCCACGGAGAAGGTCGCGCTAGCAGCTTCCGCCGCAGCCGTGTTCGAAGGCGCGTCGCTTGCCTGGAAGACAAAGGCGTCCGCACATCCTACCTCGATCTCGGGTCCGGAAACAGAGACAAACAGCGTCGAGTCCTCAGAGGATGCTCAGACTGGCAGCAAAGCGGCTCGCGAAGGACCGGTGCTGTCCGACTTGACGCTGACTCTGCCGCGTGGCAAGCTCAGCGTGCTCGTTGGCGAAGTTGGCACCGGCAAAACATCGCTGCTTTGTGCGCTGATGGGCGAGCTGTCTGTCGTCGAGGGCACGGTAACGCTGCCTCTGCGTGCGGAGCCGGTGGCCTATGTGAGCCAGGATCCCTGGACGCAAGGCGAGCGCAGCATCAAAGAGAACGTCGTCTTCTACCGACCCTTCGATGAAGATCGATACCAACAGGCGCTGCTTGCTTGCGGGCTAGTCGTCGATGTGCAGCAGCTGCCCAAAGGCGACGGTACGCTTGCCAAGCATCTGAGCGGAGGACAAAAGCAACGTGTGGCGCTCTGCCGCGCTGTGTATGCCGATGCTCCCACGTGTATTTTGGACGACGTACTGTCTGCTGTCGATGCCACCACCGCAGCAAGCATCAATCTCGCACTGTTCTCGCGACAGACTGGCTTGCTACGCGGCAAGACGATCGTCATGGTGACGAACTCGGTGCAGCAGATGCAGCTTGCCGATCACATTGTGCAGATGGCTGGCAACGGTTGTGCCAAGATGCTGCACGGCGAGGTTCAGACGGTGCTGCAGCTAGCCGACACGATTGATTCGGTGCGTCGCAAGTCGGAAGAGGTGCAGGATGACGAGGGCCCCAATGGCGAGAGTTCTGCGGCTGCTGAGATCCGAGCGGCGGCGGCAAAGGAGCGCAAGATGCTCGAGATGGAAGAAGAGCAGGAGGAGGTGATGACGGGTCGCATCAAGTTTTCCGTGCTCAAGCGCTACTTCGGCGCGGCTGGCTGGTGGGTGTCGCTGTCGTATCCGCTTGCGCTGACGATCCAAACGGGCGCTGCCAACGGCCAGCTCCTCTGGCTGCAGGCGTGGGCGCAAGACATTTCTCCCGCCACGCTGCGAGGCTCGATTGCTCTTCACGTGGGTATTCTTGCGCTCTTGGCATTTCTGCGATTCACTATGTACGGCGGATCGCTGGTGATCTACCTCAAGGCATTCTGCCCTCGGATCTCGCTCAAGCTGCATCACGACGAGCTGGTGGGCCTTCTGCGATCGGGCGCCGAGTGCTTCCTCAACCTGAATCCCGGTCGGATGATCAATCGGTTCACGCAGGACATCTATTCGCTCGACTTTCAGATCTGCGCATACGTGGTCAACGTATACTTTTTCATCATCGAGGTGGGCTTTAGCATCGTGCTGATGGCGCTGCCTGCGCCGTTTTTGCTGGGAGTGGTGGCTGCGATGGCGGTGCTGTACTATGGCATCTATGCGCTGTACAGCCCTTCTTCGCGACAGCTGCGTCGGCTGGAGATGGCGACCAAGAGCCCGCTGCACGCGCAATTCAAGGACACGGCGGATCTGCAGGGCCTGATGACGATCCGGGCGCTGGGCATGCAGCGGTTCTTCTCGGATGCGACGTCGACGCTGCTCGACACGTCGCAGCGGCCGTACTACTCGCTGTGGACGGTCCGCGTGTGGCTGCAAACGTGGCTGAATCTGCTGGCCATGGTGCTCAACACGGCGCTGGTGCTGATCGCGGTGAGTCTGCGACACAAGTCGAACGCAGGACTTTTGGGCGTGGCGCTCATCCAGGCGATCTCGATCTCGAGCGATCTCAACGGGCTGATGAGTGCGTGGACGGAGCTGGAGATCGGTATGGTGGCGCTGGAGCGCATCGAGCAGGTGATCACCATCGCTGCGGATCCCAAGGACGACCGCAACAAGCTTCGAGAGATGGCGAGTGTCAAACGAGGTCAGGCTTCGGGAGGGGCTGACCGGGCGGTGCCTGCCGTCAGCGTGCGCTTTGAGAACGTCACTGTGGGCTACGGTGGCAGTGATGGGCCGATGTCATTGCGCGGGGTCAGCTTCTCACTCCAGCCAGGCGAGCGGCTCGGGGTGTGCGGCCGCAGCGGTTCGGGCAAGAGCACCATGTTATTGTCGCTGTTGCGCATCCTGGAGCCTGCGGCGGGCCGCATCTTGGTGGACGAGGCGGACGTGGCGACGATGACGGGCGACTCGGTGCGTCGCAACATCTCGTACATCCCGCAGGAGCCGATGATGCTGCCATCGCTGACGGTGCGCGAAAACCTCGACCCAGAGGGCGAGCACACGGACGACGAAGCGTACTGGAACGTGCTGCGGCAGACATCGATGTACGGGGCGATCTCCCAGCTGGACAAGGGCCTGGACGAGACGATGGACCTGCAGTCGCTGAGCATGGGCCAGAAGCAGCTTCTGAATGTGGCGCGTGCGCTGCTCAAGCGGCGCGGGCTGCTTGTGATGGACGAGGCGACGTCGAATCTCGACGCCGAGACAGACGCTCAGATCCAACTCGCACTCGCTAGCTTGGCTTCCGGCGAGACACAGTCTCGCGCTGCGGCGAAGAAGGCCGTTCGGGCCAACGAACCCGATGGGTCGGTGGCGGGGAGACCGACGACAATCACGATCGCGCACAGGTTGTCGACGATCATGGACTACGACAAGATTCTGGTGCTGGGCAACGGGGAGGTGCTCGAGTTTGGCAACCCGTCGGAACTGCTGCAGCGCGAGCATGGCGAGTTCCGAGCCATGGTCGAGGAGCAGAACAAGAACGTTGCGTAGCGCAATGCTTGGCGACACGATGTAATTCAATTCTATATTGTACAACGACTCTGAGAATGCAGTGCGAGTGATACGGTATCTAGATACAGTGTTGGCCGGTGCAATACATCGATGCGTGGGCATGGTGAGATTGAGGCAACCTGTAGCAAAAGAAGTGACCAGTCGTGACAGACGAGTGAGACCAGACGTCGATCCGCTGATCGCAGCCAAGTTAGCGCGCCGGGTAAAGTGCGTTGTTGGGGTGCCCACGCGCGCATGCAGGGAAAATTCTGCGACCAAAAGGATCGACGGCGGGGCTCGTGATCTGCGCGCGACTCGCTTGGCTTGGTCGCCTGCGGACGCAGCGCGACGCATCGCATCGCAACACATCACAACGCAGGCCAGCTGCAAGCATTGCAGGGTTGCGGCGGGGGCATGCCCACGCGCCATGCTCGAGCAGCGCCGATGTAGAGCATCGCCGGTGGTCGCTGGCTGTTGACGGCAAGGCCCTGCAGCCGGCTTCGTCGAGTCGCTGCGATGTCTGCTTAGCACCATCATCTCACTTCGTTTCCTACACAATCGGCGGCACCTTCATCGCGAACAGGCGCTGACAGCTTCAGGAAAGCAAGTTCATATCGAGCAGCAAAGTCACGGAGAGGGTGAGATTCGATCGGATCGCTGCCCGATTCCAGCTGCACCCACGCACGGATCCCGCTGCAAACGCTGCAAGCCACCCGAGCAAGGCCCTGCCCACCCGCGAAACAGCAGTTCGAGAGTCTTTTTACCGGAACAAGGCTGCATCTGCCTCTGCATCCGACCCGGGATCTAAGTCGACTGCAATGAAGGCCGCCTTACGACTAGGCCGCAAGGCGACGTCGACAAAGACCACAGCCCAGAGTGGCGAGCCGGAGCGTGAAGCGGCGCCTCGCATTTCTGACACGGTCCCGCGCCTGCCAGCGCTGTTGACAGGCTCGGCGGAGCGCTCCAAGGGACTGGAAGACGCGCAAGACGCGCTGGGCAGCCTCGGCGGATTTTCGCGGCTGGGACTGGACGACTTTATGCTGGCGAGCGAGTCGGAGGGGCAGCAGCAGCAAAAGCAGCAGCATCAGCAGCTTCATGCCTCGCGCTCTCGCCTGGGCGAAATTCCTGCTGAAAGCGCGGGGGGCGGCAGCAGCGACGCCGTGCCCGACCGCCCCAACGTCTCAGCTGCGCCAAAACACGCCGCCGAGCCGAGTCCAATTTGGAAAAACAATCCAAATCCAAATCCAAATCCAAACCCGGACGCGGTCGCAGAGGCGGAGGCGGACGCAGCTGCAGCGCCTGCACCCGCTGCTGCTAGGAATATTATTTTTGCTGCATCGGCAGTCTCAGCTCGGCTCCAGGGTGCAGATCGGAGCTCGATGGGCACGCCTGCAGCTGCTGATCCCGGTTTGACGGCCGTCGATCCTCGCAATCCCCACAGTCTTCAGACCTCGTCCGACTCGTCCATCCTCCCGACTCCATCCACCACAGCACTCGACGACGACGATACCCCAGACCACCAACCATCCAACAGCTCGCCACAACTCCCACAGCCCGCCACAGCCTTGTCTCTCCTGCGCCAGAGTCATGACAACGACTCCATCACTGCTGTGAGGAACCACGACTTGACCACCGACCAAACCCACGCACATCTCGAAGCCAATTCCTCGGCTGCTGCCGGACAAGATACCACCATGATGGACAGACAGCCGGCCTACTACCCCTCGCAGTCGGCCTATACCAAGTCCAAGGCGCCTGCTGCCCCACGTGGTCCTAGCAAGTCGTCTGTCTCCACCATTCTCGAGTCCGCCAAGCGCGCCCACTCGTCCAAATCAGGCCCCTCGCTCACCGTCCACACGGGGCCCTTGCACGGCAACACGCTGGCTTCCACATCGTCCATCCACACCTCGGCTTCCGCCCTCGTCTTTCCGTCTTCGCCTGGCGAGGGACCACCCGTAGAACCGAGTCTGTTCGCCTACGGCGCCTCTTCCTCCTCGTCCGTCCTCAGGATCCCCAAGAAGAAGGACAGCGCCGCCAGCATACACACCACCCAAACCAAGAAGAGCACACGCTCAAAGAGCAACGACCGCGCCATCATCCGCAATGCACGTGGCGAGATCGAGTGGAAGGATGCTCCTCCACTGCCGCCCGCTCTGCCTTCCTCTTCCACTGCACCACAGTCGCGCCGCACCAATTCACCCTACGAGGCTGTCGACTCGCGCTCGCGCACTCGCTCCCCCGGCAAGCCTAGCTCCCAGACTGTGCGCGGCTCCGACGACCCGCGCCGCCAACGCTCGCACACCGCAGACGTGCCGTACACTGCCGTCGGCAGCAGCGCCGATGCCATGCCGAGGACCGCACCGCAACGTCCCAGGCATAGACGTCGTTCAACAGACGACGCCGATGGCTTCCACACCGCCGACGAGGACGACATCGAGGCACGCGAGTGGGAGCGCAAGCGCGATCTGGAAAACCAAGCCGACCGCCTCGAGGTGCATCGCAGGCAACAGGCGCGCGAGGACGAAGAGCGTCGCGCAAGGAAACGAGCCGAGCGCGATCGCCTCACAGCCGAGGCCATCGAGCGCGAGCGTCAGGCAGACGCGCGCAAGCAGGCCGATCGCGAAGCACGCCGACTGGCGCGCGAGACAGCTGAACGCGAGGAGGCAGAGCGCAGATACAGGCAGCGCCAAGAGGCAGAGGCACGCCGCGAGAAGGAGAGGCAAGAAGCTCAGCGCCGCCGCATCCAGGCAGAGCGCGAGGCCGAAGAGGCACGCATAGCCCAAGAAAAGGAGGCGGAGGAACGCAGGATACGCAAGAAGCAGGAGGCGGAAGGACGGCGCATTCGCAAGGAAAAGGAGGCAGAGGAAAGGCGCATTCGCAAGGAAAGGGAGGCCGAGGAACGACGCATTCGCGAGGAAGAGGAGGCGAAGCGCGAGGCGGAAGAGGCGGTCCGAAGAGCCGAGGAGGAGCGTCTCGCAGCCATCGAGGCCGAGAGGCTCGCCAAGGAAGCTGCCATCCGCGCCGAGCGCGAGGCGGTGCTCGAAAAGGAACGCCAGCTCGTCGAAGCCAAGCGTCAGGTCGAAGAGGAGGACCGTGCCGCCAGGCGTGCGGGGCGTCGCGAGGACAGGCGCGCTCAGCGTGCACTCGCAGCCGGGTTCCAGCCGGGCGAGATCGACCCCGAAGCACAGCAGTCGGAAGACGAAGAGGATGTCGAAGAGACCTTCGACGACCATAGCGACTCGGAATCCGCGTCCGAGGTGTTTGTCGACGCAGGCACCGAAGAGGATGCCGAGGCCAAGAGCGGCACCACCGACTCCATGGCGCGCTCCACCTCCAACCTCGATGCGCCCTCTAGCACCGACGGCAGCTCCGACATGCCTGCTACGCCCGCCGACGAAAAGGCCATGTCGCTCCCGCCACCCGCATCGGGGACAGACTTGGCCAGACAGCCATCGTCCAACGCCAGCCATGGCCAGGTGAAGTTTGCGCCGGGCACCACCGGCGAGGTGACGCCCCCTGCGCCGCCGCCCGAAAAGATGGCGCCGTACCGGTCGGATCGCTTCCGTCACGCCGTGCGCGTGGGTGCCCGCCGCGCGCCGGCCACAATCCCTCCTTCCACCTCGCTGCTCACCGCGACGTTTGCGGCGACCGACGACGAGGAGGCGGGCGACGACGACGAGAGCGGCGACCCGCAGATCGTCCAGCCCAACGGCCCGTACCGCGAAGGCGGCATCACGTACGGGCGTGGCTGGTGTGCGCACGGTCTTGCCGATCCGTCGCTCACTATCGACCACCGCCGCTACGTGCGTGTTGCTCGAACCAAGGCTGCCGCCGAAGACGAGACCGCACCAGCCGAGCCGGACTTTGACGAGGTCATGTACAGCGATCTGGGCGAGCTCATTTGGTCCGCCACGACGCCCGACGTGATTGCGCGCCTCATCAGCCATCTCGACTATGCGGATGTCAAGGCGCTGCGGCAAACGTCGCAGTCGATACGCTTCGCGCTCGGCCAGCTGGCGGGGCGCGAAATCGTGCTGAGCCGGTTCCTGGCGCCCATCGGCTACCGCACCTGGACGCCGTCCAAGGCGGCGCCCGAAGCAGACGCGCCCGTCGAGGACAAGGACCCGATGCCGCTCAGCTTTTCGGACTGCGAGGCGTTCCTGCTGAGCTTTGAGCTGCTGCCGGAGTATGCGCTGGTGGGTGCCGAGTATGCGCGTGCACCGCACAAGATGGACGCGCGCTATCCGAGGTTGGCGCGCGCCACGACGCGCGCGTACAACCGGGTGCTGACGCGGCTGCGCATGCAGCCTGACCTGCACGTGGCAGGTTCAGCTCGGTCGGCATCGGGCGAGACGACGACGATCAGCAGCCCGTGGAAGCCGGGGCGTGCGGGCTTCTTCCGCACCTGGGTGCCGTCCACCGAGACAGGCGGGTGGCTGAGCGATACCGAGCTGGCGCGGTGCGAGCGCGAGCTGTTCATCGGCGGCGTCTGGCCGCATCTGCAAAAGGGCGATGTGGTGTGGGACTGCGCCGTGGGCGACGAACGCAACGAGGGCAAGTACGTCTTTGACGGACGCTACCTTCGCGATCTCTCGTTCATGTTCGACCGGGGCGGACATTTGCCCTCTTGGCTCAACGCTTTCGTGTTTGCGCCCAGCTACTACCACAACATCATCCGGTCCAGCGATGCCTCTCAACCAGTCATCTACCTCGACGTGCTTCCGTGGCGCGATCAGATCGTATCGACCATGCGGCTGGTACAGGATCAGGTGGAGACATTCTCGCCACAGGGTGCGCGGTACCGTATTGCCAAGTGGCTCTACCGTGCGGTGATCAGCATCGAGGCGGGTGCGGTGGCGGCAGAGGGCGTCGATGCGGGATGGCACGGGAGGATTGTGATCGAGACCGAGGGGACGGCTGAGCATGCCAAGGAGCTCATTTCGCGGTGTGCCGGACCGGCCGAATCGGCGCAGACCAAAGCACGGCTGCTCGCCAGCGTCATGGATGCAGACGGACGCCCGAGGATCCCCAAGGCGCCCGCACCCACTACGGATGCACAGGGAAACAGGATCGAAACTACCACGCCCTGGGCCATTGTCCGCGCACGCTCGCGACCGGGTCTCATCTGGATCCGTCCCATCGACATGCGTGAACGCGTCGTGTTCTGATCCCTCTCAACTCAATCGCAATCTCACTCGATTCATTTTGATGCAATGCTGCAACGACAAGATTGAGTGTGAGACAGAGTTTTGAATTTGGATTGGGAGGAAGTGCGATTGCGGGGAACTCAGAGCTTTGCGAAGCGGGCAGCGTCGTTGTTGGGGATCTTTACGACGCGCGCGTATCCTGCACCGAGACTCTTCTTACCGGTCGCCTTGACGAACTGTTCAAAGGCGATTTCGGTCTTTCCGTCCTTGGTGCCCGTGATCCAGACCTTGGTTTCGAGTTCGTCGCCCGGCTTGACGGGCGAGGTGAAGCGCACAGCGAAGGCTTCGAGTTCGTGTCGCGCGCTCGAGTTGGTCAGGTTGGCGGGCACACCGTCGTTGGGGTCGACAGCCTTGAGCACCGCACGCGCCGCAAAGCCAAACGAGCACAGTCCGTGCAAAATCGTTCCGCCCAGACCCACCTTCTTGCCCAGACCGCCGTCGATGTGGATGGGGTTGTAGTCGCCCGAGAGACGGTAGAGCATGGCTTGCTGCAGTGTGGTCTTTTCGGCGAGCACAAAGTCCGGCTCGCGCGAGGGCGCCTTTGGCTGGGGCAGCCTCTTGCTGAGCGCCTTGCTGAAGCCAGTGCCCTGGCCACCACCGCGATAGAAGCTGCTTCCGATGATCGTGGCGTGGTTGCGACCCACGGGGCTCACGAGACGCATCTCGGTCTCCATGACCAGACCATTGGGTCGGTCGTGCACGGCCGAGATGCGCTTTTCGAGCTTCCAGCCCTCGCCCGATACGAGCGGGAGCGGAGCATGGATCTCGATCGACTGCTCACCATGCACCACCGTGTTGAGGTCGAGCGAGGGGAAGCCAGGCACAGCCGCGCGGGACGAGACCATCTCGGAGAAGACGGTGGTGTCCTGCGAGGTGCCCTTGAGAGCCAGCACGACCGGGTAGGTGGGGAAGGCGCGGAATCCAGCCTCGCGCTCGTAGGCATAGTCGAGGTCCTCGGGCCCCACACCGATGCTGACGGCGTAGGTGAGCAGGTCGCGACGGTTCCAAGCGACGGGCTGTGTGCCGGCGTCGTGGCCGACGGTCTTGTCAAAGTCGACGTTGGCGTTGACGGGCTTGGACATGATGTTCTTGGGGTCGCCAGGGATGTGAACGATGGGCTGCGGTGTGCGATTGCTGGAGCTGAAGAGTCGGGAGCGTGCAGGTGCAAGAAGGGATGAGTTGGTCGCAAGGGAGGCTGAAGAAGGCAACGGGTTATAGCTCGTTGGCGTCCCAGCCGTAAAAGCGCTTGTGCCAGGCGGTGAATGCGGGGAAGAAGCCGGGCCGAATCGCGCGCTGTCCAGGGTCCGGCGAGTGCTGGACCGGCGTCCGGCAGAAATTCGGCCCAGCAGAGACGCGCTCAAGCCACCACCGCGCCCCAACACTTTGCTCGACGACATGCTGCCGGGCCGATGGCTGGGTTCCGAAGATTTGACTGTTGTTGACTGCAAAGGGTTTGAGCGAGAGTGCTTGACAGATGTGCAGCAAGTGAATCCTACGAACGACTTTCCTCGTGCTTTGTGGAAGGTTGTGGTACAGCGACAAGATGCTGGCGACGCGAAGGCGACGCTGTTGCCCCGTCCGTGCGACCCTGCGACAGTCTCAACTTGAGCCTTCTCAGGGGATCGCCAACTCCACGTGGATCATTGTTGACTGGATCACTGTGCCCTCAAATCTCCTGGCCTACTTTTGTTGTTACCTCCTTCTGTGTTGTTCCTGTGTCTTGATGAAGCTATGGCGGTAGGAGGCGGGGTCGAGGAAGTTTAGCAATGTTAGGCCGGAGTTAGTTCACTTCGGCAGAGAAAAAAATTTACGCGCACGAGAAAAGGTGCGGGCAAGCTGTGCCGAGAACGCGCCGCGGACTGCGATGACGGAAAGTCGCATTTGGGCCCCAGCTGAGCTGTGCTCTCTGCTTGGAGTCCGTGCTTTTTCTGGAAGCCGAGCCAAGCCAAGCCCGATACAGTAGGCCGTCTACAGTATGGCTGCTGCGCCTCCCAGGAACGCCGATGGGCAGCCGTCCGAGCGCTGCCCAAGCACAGCCGCTGCTCCACTCCACCAACGCTCGTCTCCACCTACATCCACCTCACCATTCGCCGCCGCCATCTCCCGCCCCGGCTTCGGATCCTTTACCCTACACAACCTTCCATCCGGTCCTGGGCGCCACAGACCCAGCAGGATAGTAGTGCATCACCATGAAGGGCCTCGCCAAGGCCATGAAGCGCACGCCGCACCTCATGACGAGCAAGATCGGCATGGCGGCCAAGTCGTCGGATGCGGCGTTCGACTCGCTCAACCAGCGCTTCACGAACCTCGAAAAGCTCTCGGAAAAGCTGCTCAAGGACGCATCCACCTTCCGCGACGCCGTCAAGAACATGCTGCTCTCCGGCGCCAACTTTGGGCGTCACTTTGACACGCTCTTCCAGCCGATTGGATCCGAGTACGATCTGGAGCATCGGCATCCGAATGCGCAGCACACCATCGTCAACCTGTCCGCGTACGGTCAGCTGATGGACGAGCTCAAGGAGACGCTCACGCCCGAGATCGAGCTCATCGAGAGCCGCGTGATCGCGCCCACCAAGGACTTCCAGACGGTGGTCAAGGCCATCCGTAAGAACATCACCAAGCGCGACCACAAGCTGGTGGACTACGACAGGCACAACAACTCGTACTCCAAGCTGCGCGACAAGAAGGACAAGAGCCTCAAGGACGAACAGAACCTCTTCAAGGTGGAGCAGGAGTACGAGACGGCTGCGGCGGATTACGAGTACTACAACAATGCGCTCAAGGAGGAGCTGCCGCGCTTCTTTGACATGGCAAGCCGCTTCATGACGCCGCTCTTCCACAGTTTCTACTACATGCAGCTCAACGTGTTCTACCTCACCATGGAGAGGCTGCAGACGTTTGCGCAGGGCAAGTACGATCTGACCAACAACTCGATCGCGGTTGTAGAGGATACGTACATGGCGCAGCTTACCGATGCAGCCGAACGACTGGAGAACTTGACGATCCGTAGAGGCGCCATGCCGACCGCCAAGATCCTTGCGCAGAATCGAGCCAGTGGTGGTGGGTTGAGTCCGTCGGGGTCGCGCATCGGCGGCTTGGCTGCAGGCGCACCCAGTCGCTCGGGCTCAATTCTTAGCTCCCACTCGAATGCGGCTGCTGCAGCTCCACCCGCTTACTCGCCCACGAGTGCGGCGGCTGCAGGTGGCGTTGCGAAGAGACCTCCACCACCCCCGCCTATCAAGCCCAAACCGGGCGCTGCACCGCGCTCGTATGTAGTGGCGCTCTACGACTACACCGCCACCGCGGATGGAGATCTCAGCTTCAAGGCAGGCGATAGGATCGAAGTCACAGAACGCACCCAGTCGACTGATGATTGGTGGACCGGCATCGTTGCTGGCCAGAAGGGCGTATTCCCCGGCAACTATGTGCGCGATGAGTAGTAAGTATCGCTCACAGCTTACAGAGGAATCTCAGAAGAGGCGCACAGTGTCCGTTGCGTGGATTAGAGAGTGTGGGGCCGCGTAGATTAGAGAGTGCGTAGGTGGATGGACGGGTATAAAACGGGGTCAGCGGTGGTGTGGGGTCGACTTGCGCGCGTTGAGCGTCGAGGTGGATCGCGGGATGCGGCTGTACGGGCTGGTGGGCGTGCCTACATCGGTGCGCCGTGCCTGCCTCGCCGCCGGACTTGGTGTGGCGCTCTCGTTGAGCTCGGCCCGTCCAAACACGAACGGCGAGCGCACATCCCCAGCCCCAGCACCGGCTTCGGGTCGGCTGTCGAATTGAAAGTCAAACGCCGAGCGCGAGTGGCGCAGACTCGTGCCGAAAGTGCGCTTGACAGGTTCGGGCAGCGCACCGCCGCTACTAGGGCCAAGCTCGTCCGGGTGCGAGCTGGAGCGTGCGATCCCTGCGTCTGGTTGCAAATACGCGAATGGCGATGCGGGCAACTGCGATCGCTGGCCGAGAAGCGGCGTCGAGGAGCGCGAGTGCGTGCCCAGGCCCAGAGACGGCGAGGGCGTATCGATGTCGCGCAGATCCGACTCTTGCAGCACAGGGGTCGAGTTGAGCGCAGCCTGGCCCTCGGCGATGAGCGCATTCATCTTGGCTTCGAACCGCGACAGCATCTCGTCGTCGTCATCATCATCATCGTCGTTTTCCTCCATTTGTGCCGGTGCAAGGTCCCGACTTGCACTCGCGCTCATGCTCGGCGAGTCTGCGGTCAGTGGAGCACGGAAGGCGTCCGGCAGCGCTTTGCGAGGCGTGCTCTGGCGGTGCGTCTTGGAGCCCTGGAACGTCGGTCGGCGTCGGTTGCGCTGCGACGAGACAAACACTTTACGGGTGCGCACCGAGTTGGACTGCGGTGTGGTCGGCGCCGCTTCTTGCCTCGAGGGCGTGGAGTGGTCCTCGTAATAGGGCGGCGGTGGCTCCTCGAGTCCGCCTGGCGGCATTCTGGACTCCTTGCCACCGAATGTGCCCGATCGTTCGTTTTGCGAAATCACATCGCCCATGTCCGCCTGTGGCCCCGCATCGGGATGGTGGTGCTGCTGCTCTGAATCTCCCGCATGGCCCCAGGAAGACCATAGCGAGTAGGCGGTGAGCGCAGCAGCGCCCGTGTACAGTGCTGCGTTGAGTGCAGTATCGACAATGGTACCTGCGAGGCCACGCCGGCGCTTGCGGGGTTGCTCGTCGGCTGGCGCGTAGGACGACTCGTGGAGCGCCTGCGAGGTCTCGCGCAGCGCTGCTTGCGCCGACTGGTTGCCGCGCGAGAAGATTGTGTTTCTCGCAGCGTACCCGGACTCGTCTGCATCGGCGGCTGTGCGGAAGCTCGAGGGGCTGGCAGACATGGGTGTGGGCTGCTGTCGGAAGCTGGCAAACGAGTTGGCGCTACTGGAGGACGGCATGGATGCCATGGATGCCATCGAGGTCGTAGATGTGCTCTGCGGCATGGCCATACCGGACTGAAAGCTGAACTCGGCGCTCGAAGTGGACGGGCCCGACGAAGAGGGGCCCATCTGCTCCCATGGCAGCGATCCGAGACCACCGCGGCCGATGGTAGACGTCCATTCGCGCTTCTTGCTGGATGGTGTAGATGAAGGTGGCGGCATGCTGGCGGCGTCGGACCCAGTCTGTTGCGAGGACTGCGGCGAAGATGCGGGCTCGTCGAATGATGAAGGTGGTGGTCGATTGCGTGGGTGAAGTGGGCCGCGCAGTCGACGCCGCGAAGGCATTCCGTAGCCGGTGTTCATCTTGTGTGAAGATGGCGTGTGGGTCCAGCTACGTCTCCGCTGCTGTAGACTTCCGCATGTGCGTGGCTGATGAGAGCGCGAGGTGATGTGCTCACTGGGATTCGTGGAGTGGGTTGGGTGTTGGTCTGTGACGGTGTGAAAGTGTGACGCCAGACAGAGACAGAGGGGGGATGTTGCACTTTGCTAATGAAAATGACCCTGCACTTTCCATCGCGGCGGACCCACCCAAAAGGGTTCCGGCCGACTCTGAGGCCACAGGGGCCGCCAAAAGGGATGCACAAACAAGCCTGTCACGGCTGTCACGCGTTGGGCGCAGCTGAGCGGCGCGTAAAGTGTTGATCTCTGCACGGCGGCCGAAACGTGCAATTTGTTAGGCCGACCCAGACAGCCTCATGCTGATCCGCTTCAAGCTACATTCTGCCCCGGCCTGCTGTGATGCTCTCGGCAGCTCTCGCTATCAGCAGAAGGAAGAATCAAAGTGTCAGTGCGCCTAGGAGTATGCCTGGGTAGCTCATCAGGCTCAAGATGACAAGTGCGGCGCGATACCAGATAGATAAACCGGCCGACGAACCATGTCATTTCTGCTACGCGGTCTCAAAGCAAGGGTCCAAGACAACAGTTGCAGCTGCTGTAGAGTTCAGGTATCTCGGCTACGGTGCGTGCTGCAATCGTTGCAGCTCTACCGACGATGCCGGCGTTGCCAAGACGGAGCGGCTGCAAACGACGATGCATCCGGCGTCGGGTAACCTGGCAAGGCGACCCTCGAGCTTCCCGTAGATCGTAAATTAGCCGCGGACGCTCAGTAGGCTGAGATCTCGGAAGTATATAGGTCCGCCAGTGTTGGCCAGCGGGAGCATCTCGCGACGGTGTTGTGTCGCCGGCGTCCCAAGTACCTTACTTTTCTGCAATCCACTGCTGCCTGGAGCACGGTGAGAAGAACGCGAACGACGCTTGACATGCTCGTCAAGATCTCTTGGGCTCTCTGCGCCGCTGCCGCGATCCAATCGGTAGCCGCTCGGCCTTTGAGAAGCACAGCGTCAATGCTCAAGCAGGGAGGAGGTGGTGCCGCCAACTCGACCCGGTATCACGATGTTCCCTATGGACGTTTTGGCCCAGCAGCACGGCAGGCTGGATCAGGAGTACCTGGGAGCGACGCGATCAACGAAGACCCCTCGGGCCTGGCGCCTGCACTTGCACCTGGCGTGCAAAACTCGTTAGGCGAAGGATTCGATCCGCAGTTCCTCACCATCACTCGCGATGGCAAGCCGTTCTACCTGGTGACGGATGTCGACTTTGGCATGAAGGTGTTCTTGCGCGCAAGCGACGACCTCAACGACATCTACCGGAACGAGGGCAAGATGTTTGCGATCTACGAGTACTCGAACGTCTCGTATCCGAAGGGTGTGGGAACCGAAGCTGCCGACATTGTTCGACTGGGCGATCGATACCTGTACACCGTTTCTGCGATCCAGGACGATACGATGCGCATGCTCATTTCGGACACCGACGACCCCTTGGGCCAGTATACCGACCTCGGCCGCGTGCTCGGCCAAGATGGCGTGGCGCTGCAGGGCTACGATCCGCACGTGATCGTACATCCGAACGGCAACACGTACCTGACATGGTCGAATCACGAATACGTGCAGCTCGTGCAGCTGCAGAACGGTGCGCCTGCTCGTGCGGCGAGTGGCGTGGTGGACCTGGTTTCGTATGGTGTCAATACAGAAGCGCCGAGTAGCTGGGTGTACGACAACAAGGTAAACGGCTCGAGCACCCTCAACCTGATGTACGCCGAGGGCAACTTCTACCAGTCCAACTACAACACGCGGCTGCTCTACATCGATGCCGCCGAAGATCCGCTCGACGTGGGCCGATGGTACCAGCGCGGACAGCCCATCCTGGCGTCGGACTCGAGTCAGGGCGTATACGGACCGGGTAGCGGAAGCTTGTTCACGGGTCCCGATGGTCAGACGTGGTGTGCGTACGGAGCGTTTGCATCGCCCGACGGTGCGGACGACGGCAAGAACGAGCGATACGTTAGGGTGCAGGTGGCGCAAGCTGACGAGAGGGGGGTGTGGCTCCCTACGCAGGTGACCGCCGCCGAGTTGCTAGATTGAACAGAAGCTGTCAGGCAGAAGCTGTCACCAGTGTTTGCTGTGTAATGTCAACGGTCAAGCATGGCAAGGGGTGACGATGTGGTGTGAGGGAAAGCCAGGGTCTGTTGAGCTTTGTTGGCAGACCCTGGGCCGAGTTTGTTTCTGCAGCGGTGCGTCATAGCTGAGTGGCATGCCCGAATTCCGAGTTCCACGGCCGGAGCGCGAGCTTCATGCGGCTTAGCAAAGCGCTCTTGTGCGCCGCGGAGACATACGCCTTGGCAGCGCGCATCCCGTTGGTATGGGTGAATCACCTGAACCCTTGCGTCGTCGTCGTCGTCATGGACGCAGAGCGCAGGGTCTCGCCACTCGGCGGATAGAGCGTTTCCGGTCGATGACAGAAGAGGATCTGTTGGGTGAGGACGGACGTGCAAAATTGCGCTGCTGACCCACCGCGCCAAGAAGATCGGAAGGCGATGCCTCCACTTGCTGACTTGGACGAGGAACAGCTTCTTTGAGACTCGGACTCTTAAAAGTCGGCTCAGTTCCACCACCTCGACGCTGTCCATTAATCCATCCATCATCCCAGCTATCTGCCTCTTGCTGTTCGAGCCAGACAGCCACCTCAGCCAAGATGGTGGTGCACGTTCTGGACGATTTCTACCTCTCCATCACCTTCCTCATCTCGCTTGGCTGGCAGCTTCTCGGCTTCGCCATCGCCTTCGGCCTGCAGATTGACACGATCACCGACTGCTGGTCGGCGATCAATGTGATCTTCCTCGCCATCTTTACGCTCTGCTGCGGCGACCAGTACTATGCGCGCAATGTGATCGCCACCATCTTTGCCATCCTGTGGGGTGTGCGTCTGGGAGGCTTCCAGCTCTTCCGCATGTTCAAGATGGGCGGCGACACGCGCTTCGACGAGATGCGATCCAAGCCGCTCAGCTTTCTTGGGTTCTGGACGTTCCAGCTCATCTGGGTGTGGACCATATCGATGCCCGTCAACGTGCTCAACTCGCCCGAGTCGAGCAACCCCGCCAACGGCGGTGGCAATGCGCGTTTTGGAAACGGCAAGGACGTGGTTGGGATCATCTTCTTTGCGGTCGGATTCGTGGTAGAGGCGCTGGCGGATGTGCAGAAGTACCGATTCAAATCCGTCACCAAGCCGCCCAAGGGGGCGATTACCGATGCGGGCGTGTGGAAGTATTCGCGAAGGCCCAATTACTTTGGCGAGATCCTGCTGTGGTGGGGCGTGTGGCTGCTGGCTATTGGTAACTCGACCGAAGCATCGCCTCGCGGTCACGATGCACTGTACGGTTCGATCTTTTCGCCGCTCATCACCATGGCCCTGCTGCTCTTCCTCTCCGGCATCCCGCTGGCTGAAAAGCCCACGCAGCAAAAGTACTTCCTCATGTCCCACGGTCCGGACAAAAACACAGAGGGCCTCGAACCATGGCGCGACCAGACCGAGACCGACGCATGGCAACGCATGAAGGCCTTCCGCAACCGCACCTCGATGCTCATCCCCCTTCCCAACAGCCTCTACGCCAAGCTGCCGCGATGGGTCAAGTCTACGATCCTCTTCGACTTCCCCTTCTACAACTTCGACGAGGCCAAGGATGGGTCCAAGGCCATCCGCGAAGCCGAGGACAAGAAGAACCGCGACCAAGCATAGACTCTCTCCTGACGCTTTTGTTGTATCGTTGATACCCGTGTGCTTAATTACTGCTTCTATGGATTGCGAATCAGCAGCTGTCTGTACGTGAGGGTCATGCCAGATCAGCCCATCTGAGAGAGGCGACGACGACCCAGCTGCCACGGTCGCTGATGTCACCCATGTCGTCTTCGGTGTCGGAGTAGGCGCGTGTGGCTCCGTCAATGTTGCGCTCCCAGATACCGCCATAGCTTGCTTCTTCCCAATCGGGCACAATCCCTGCGCATCGACCGTCTGCTAGTGTCGCATCGCCCGTTGTGTCGGCCTGAGCAAGCTGCACGAAGAAGCGTCGGACGGCAGGTCGACCCGTGTGAAAGCCAGCAATGAGGACGCAGCGTGCGTTGCGATCCCGCTTGAGCAGCGCGCGTATCGAATGGATCAGCAACGGATGGGCTGACGACACCCACAGCACGTCGGCAGCTAGTACCACATCGTACCCCCCGCCCGATCCACCGGACGAGAGAGATGAATTGTAGACACGCGCTTCTTCATCGTGATTGCCCCAACCGAGACCGAGGACCTCGACCCGTGCCCGCGCCTCGGCGTAATGCGGGTTGCGCTGTTTCTGGGAGCTGCTGTCCGATGCTTGCTGCTTTGGAACAAGAGCGAGTTCGAGATTTCCTCGAAGATTTTCGATGACGTGCGGATCCGGATAGTCGGTGATCACCGTCTTGGCCGCGCCCATCACACATGCCACCAGCCCAGGCAAGCCGGTTCCAGCACCCAGCTCCACCACCGCCTTTCCTCGCACATCGGCAAATGCATCTCTCTGCTTCCCCAACGCCACCTCGGACGCGGCTTGACTTTGTGTCGGGACAAAGCTCTGCTCGGCGATGAGGTCCGCAAGGTAGAGTCCGGCATCCCACTGGTGGTGCGCGAATAGCTTCGTGTTGGTTCCGCTGTTCTGCGCGATGCGGTAGCGCAGCGTCGCCTTGCGTGCTCCTGAGCCGGACGTTGAGGCAATTTTGCGTGGTGGCAGGTTGTCGTGCGTGTACTTGCATACGTCGCCTGGGTCGCCGTGTGCCGGTTGGTTGTGCGAGAAGAGCGTAAAGAGCGAGTCCTCGAACAGCGACGTCGGCGAGCGAGAGCGTGACCGTGAGCGGCTGCGCGTCGAGGAGGAGCTTGAGCAGGAGGCGCGATCGTCCTCGCTCCCATCGTGCCGCATTGTGATCCGATGTGCGCTCGTCTTGACGATGGATCGTTGTTTAAGAAGCAACGAGGAGGTGGATAGGAAGAACGGCTAAAATTTCGCAGGAAGACGGATTGCAGCTGGACCCTTCTTCTCCTCATTTCTCGGAATTCGCTCACGGAGCACACCCGAGAGCGAGTGAGGTGGGATGGTCAATGCGCCGCTTCCTCCCAACTTGTCACCCGCCCACCACCATCAGCCTGCCATACTCGCACACACTCGACGCTCGCAATGCCTCTGCCCAACTTGCGGCGCATCTTCAGCTCTTCCCGAACCGACGACCAGGAACGCGCCGTCTCCAGACAGGCCTTCTTCCGCTTCTGCAACTTCCTCGCCTCGTGCGCCGTCATCGCTCTCCTCAGCAGCCCCAAGCGAAGGCGCGCCATCGGTCTATAGAGTCCACCTACGGTCCGCTCTTAATCTCGCACCAGCATCGTCCGGACAACATGGCGCCTCCTCCACCCGTTCCACAGCGTCCGTCGTCTCAGAAGTCCAGCTTGCGCTTCACAAATCTGCAGCCTGGCGAGTCTGTCTATACCCGTCTCCTGATCGTTGAAGGCACTGTCGGTTCGGGCTCGCCAAATGGTCAACTCACTGTTTCGCATGACCCCGCCTCAGGCTTCGAAGCGCAAATCTGGGAGATCAACCAAGGCTTCTTCAAGGCTCTCGTACCCCTTACACCCGGCAAGAACGACCTGACTTTCAATTGGACCATCAATCGGTCTAGCGAAAGTGGCAGCGAGACCGTCACGGTCACATACGATCGGCCTAGCAGCGCTCCACCTCTGCATCTCGTGATTGTCGCAGCGTGTGACTCGCCCGTCTGGCAAAATGACGGGCGCAAGCCCCCTCTTGTCCCGCCAAAGCCAGGCAGCAACGAAGCCACCAGTTCGACTCAACCGCGCAAAACGGACAAAGTTTCAAGATTCCTGAACAGGGCGATGGACAAGCTCGATATCGCCGCAGGGCCTCGAGGCGGACCTCTGGACGAGGCAGACCGAGCCATTGTAGATGCACCCCCAGGGCCGAGGCGAGAGGCGCTTCGGTCCGGAGGCATTGCCGAGGTCAAGCGTCGCATCGCGCTCCAAGCGTACCTGTGGCAGGCCTTCCATGCGGAGCAGATGCGAAGACACGGTATGGGAAGGCGCGCCTTTCAGCTCGACGATGCGCACTCGGACGCAGCGCCCGGATCGTCCAGCGCCCCAAACCGTGCGTTAGAGTCACTTCCGCACATCCACCTGCTCAAGTCACGACGAACTCTGCGCGAGTTCCGCGATCCCGAGAATGCACAGCAAAAGTCCAACGCTCGCAACGCGGGAGCGATGCACGGCTTTGCTCGCGAGGCGCTCGAGGATCCATCGACGCCGCAGTTTCTCCACTGGTCGCCCGTGGCTGTGCTCACGCTCGACACCATGTACGACGCCAAGATGCGGCTGATCCGCGCACATGCAGCACTTGGAGCCGGTGGACCCGGTAGTCTATCGCACGGCGTCATGGGCAGCCACTGGCTCTGGGCAGCACCCCGCTCGTTGCAGCAGGTCACTGCCGCCTTCCTCGATACGGAGCCGACAGACGAAAACTGTTGCGTCAACGATCTGAATGAGTGCCCCACCGCGTGGCAGACGCTCAACGTCGGCTCGGGAGCGTTCTTTCACGAGGCAGGGCATGCACTCAACAACCCGCACTGGCCGTCGGGCCTTATGGCGCGTGGATACGTCGAGTTCAATCGCGCCTTTATGACGCGCGAGCCCGGGTGTCGGCGCAACGGCGTTGCGGCCGGATGCTTTTTTGCACCCATTCACGCGGGCAACGACGACAAGCACAACCACATCCACCGTGCACAGGCGGTCAGAGCTCGCTGGCACCCGTGCTTCTACATGGCTTCGGATCCACCGCTACCGTATCTGCGAGGGAACGATCAGACGACATGGGTGCAGTGGAATGAAAACGAGCCCGCATGGACTAGCACCCCGCAAGGCGCGCTGCTCAAGTGCGAATCCGGCATCGGCGCAGTCGAGATCGAGGTGGATGGCGCGTACAAGACGCATATTGAATGGCTTTACCTGCCCACCGATGGGCGGCCGCCACAGGTGCCTCCTCGACAGACCGTCATCGACGCAGCCTACCTTAGCCAGAAGGTCGGATTCGATGTGAACCACCCGACGTCTCCTCGAGTTAAGCTCAATGCGCTCGCGTGCAATATGCGACAGGCCGAGCTGCCAGACTTCCGTCAGAACGGTGTTGCTCGTCCACTCCGACTGCCCGGTATCGACTCGTCGCGGCGCACCATCGTGCGGTCGCTTCCTTTTGGGCAGACCAACGCATCGGGTCATCAGTGGGATGTCCTCTTCCCACACGAGCGCGACGACACGCCGCACGCCCAGCTCGTCGCCATCGACATCTTCAGCGGCGCGAGCCTCGACGGGCTCCAGTTCCACTATGCCAACGGTCCCCGCGTCGTGTTTGGTCCGTGTGGCGGGTCGCCCTTCCGACTTACGATAGATCGGGGCGATGCGGTGGCTCATATCAGGGTGAGGGCAGGCGCGTGGATCGATGCAGTCGAGATAGTGCTGCGCAGTGGAAAGACGAGCGGGATGCGAGGCAATGCCACTGGCGGATCGCTGCGGGTGTTGGAACCTGCGTCGGGCGAGGGCAGGATTGTCGGGCTGTATGGAACGAGCGGCGCATGGATGGATAGCATCGGCGCGTATACGAGCGCCCCTCTCTGAGCGAATCCAACTGGCATCCATCGCGCAGTCGTGTGTGTCGCAGCTCCAACGGGAACATCGGCAATGCAACAGCGTCCGCTGAACTCTGAGCTGGACAAAGTGGAGGAAGGCTGGAAATTTTTGGTGCAACCTCCACAATGGATCGTGTGAGATGCTCCGACGGCTTTTGCTCGCATGTCGGCGGACGAGGCAGCCTTGTGCACGGTTATAAGAAGGCCACTGAACCAGCGTCGGAAACCTGCATCAGAACCACCATCTATAGAGGATTTGGATACACTGCTCTATCTCACTAAACATGGCGGCAGACATTCCTTCGTTTACTCTCAACACGGGCGCCAAGATCCCTTCGGTCGGCATGGGATGCTGGCAGGGTCAGCAGGGTGCCGGCCGCGACAACGAGCTGGTCTCGGCGCTACTGACCGCCATCAAAGTCGGCTACCGCCACCTGGACACGGCGCAGTTCTATGCCAACGAGGAGGAAGTTGGCCAGGCTGTTCGCGAGTCAGGCGTTCCGCGATCCGAGTTCTTCGTCACCACCAAGATGGCCCCTGCCGCCGTGAAGGACCCCGTCAAGGAGATCGAGTCGTCGCTTAGCAAACTCAACATCGACTACATTGATCTTTGGCTCATGCACTGGCCTCAAGGTCTCACCTCCACTGACATGAGCTCGGCCCAAGCCTTCGGTCTCGAGAGCCAGAAGGATCTCGGTCCAACGTTCAACGAGACCTGGGCAAAGATGGAGGACATCTTTCTCAACACCCACCGCGGCAAGGTCAAGGCGATTGGCATCTCCAACTTCTCCCCCAAGAACCTGGAGATTCTTCTGCGCACCGCCAAGGTCGTTCCTGCAGTGAACCAGATCGAAGCACACCCGTATCTGCCCGATCAGGAGCTTGTCGACTTGTGCAAGGAGAAGGGCATCCATGTGACGGCGTACAGCCCACTGGGACAGTACAACTCGCCCATCCACACGGACAAGGACTTGGAGCAGATCGCCAAAGCTCACGACACCACCACCGCCAACGTTGCGCTTAGCTGGGCGGTGCAGAGAGGTACATCGGTGGCGCCCAAGTCGACCAACGAAAAGAGGATGAAGCAAAACATCACACTGCTCAAACTCAGCGATGCCGAGATGGAGAAGATCGATGCGATTAGCAAGGATCCCAAGAGAAGCACCAGGCTCAATGTCTCGGCATACAACAAGCAGACTAAGAGAGCCATCGGCTGGACCCTGGAGGAGCTCGGTTGGGATGTCGGCTTCAACGTCGACGAGGCTTAGATGTGTGCATAGAAGGTGCTCTCCCTCGTCATCAATGCCAAACTTTTTCCTGAGCCCATGTTGGGCATTGCAATCACTCATCACGCTGTTTGTCGTCACGGCAAGTGTCTGTCGCGGATGGGATGCTACGATTTGCGACGAACTGTGAGTGTGCCTTTAGCGAACGAGAGATCCTCGACGGTGCGAAGAGCTTTGCCGGCTTGGAGCAGCTCGATTCGGCCGCTTTCGGTCGTCGTGATGGTTGTCTGGGCTGGATTCGAGTCGTGATTGATGCCGAGTGCCAGCCGTCTTGCTGCGCGTCGTATACGCTCCCGCAGCCCAGGCGCACTGTCTAGCGCCTTCCACAGCGGATGTCTCTGCTCATCTTCCCTCCCTTTCGCCCCCTCTGCATCCTGCCCATCTGAATCGGCCTCTCTTTCTTCTGCGTGGTTACTTTCCTGCAGCACCTCTGCTTCCTTGAGCAGCACCAATATTTGTTGCTGAACGTCGTCGAGCGTAGCCTCTTTTCTCCTTGCCACATCCAGCAGCACCGACTCGACCCACAGCTCCACATCAACATGCATCGCGTCGTCGCTAACCGTACATCCGTCGTACCTCGCCAGTGCGGCGTCCTTCTCCGAGTGGTTGAATCGGGCTACGAGTTTACCTGGTCGCGATGATTGGCATCGGTCCGAACAGTACTTGATGCTACTCCAGTCGGACGCCCATTTGGCGCGCGGGGTGATCACCCTCCCGCAAGTCAGGCACGATCTGGCCGAGAGGTCGTTGACCGACACTTTTGAGGGTGGCTGGGTCGGAGGCGTGCGCGAGGCCTCGGCGGCCGCCAGCGCGCGTGCGGACTTCTTCGCCATCCTCGACGTCGTACTCAGCCCAGCGCGTCGAGTGGTCGCCCCTAGCAGACCCAATCGAACAGTCCCGCGTCGGACGATAGGATGCATGCAGCGGGAAGTGATGGTGGTGGATGAAGTAATCGTGAGCGCTCAGAGCTCAATTCGCCGTTCAGCTTCATGCCTCCACACACACTCGGCATTTTGTACCGCTTCCACACGCGACTCGGCTCGACAATTCATTCGATTCATGGCATGCTGGCTACCAGGCAGTGAGCGTCTGTTCAGCAACCCATGTGCTGCCCTTGGCGAGCGTCTGGAAGCCGTGTACCGCACCAGGCTCGACGCAGACGTACTTCTTCCAACCTCCCTGCTCGAGATCGGCGATACCCTTGTTGCCCTCCTCGGCGCAGTTCCACACCACAGTATCGGCAATCGTCGCCGACCGCGTCAGTTCGACGCCCTTGCCCATGCGCCCCAGAGGGTCCTGCAGCAGGCTAGCGTTGTACACGAGTTTGATATCGCGCGTCGGCTCGCCCGCTGGAGCAACCTTGTGCCTGCCAACGTGGACGCGGTCGATCGGCTGCGCATCGAGCGTAAAGTCGTCGGTATCCACACGAGCTTCCTCGCCGCCCTTGACCTTGTCAATGTAGTAGAGCCCGTTGAGGCCCTGAATCGAGGCCTTGGTAGCGTCGGGCACCAGCAGATAGTTGTGGAGCAGCGCGTGGAAGGGCATCTCTGCGCCGTTGGACGAATCGAGGTAGTGCACCGAGAAGGCACAGTGGAGCGTGTTCGGAGCCAGCGTCACCGTGTATCGCAGCACAGTCGAGAAAGGCCAGACCGCCTTGATCTCGGGCTTCGAGTCCGTGTTGAGCTCGAGTGTGACGGCGACCTTGTCTGCCTCGTCGATGCGCGGGACGTGCGTTGAGATGGCCCACTCGTGATCGCGCGCAAAGCCGTGCTTGCCGAGCTTGGTGATGAGTTTGGGAGCATCGGCATGATCTTTCGGCGAGCCAAAGACCGGGAACACGATGGGGACGCCACCGCGAATGGCGGCCGAGCCATCGAGGGCGGCCGCCGATGAAAGGAAGAGGCGCTCGCTGCCGCCGGCTGCCTTCCACGAGGTGACGGTGGCACCAAACAGGCGCACCTCGGCCGAAGCCTTGGACTTGGGCAGCTCGAGCTGCACCGTCGACGAGTTGTTGATCAGGTTGACAGGCATGTCGGCTTCTGTTCGCAAGATGGCGGAACGGTTGGAAGAAAGAAGCTTAGCTGTTTGGCGTTGCCGGAGTTTAGCAACCGTGCGCGGACCGTGTCGAAGCCGTCATCCCGAACTAGCGGACCGAACTAGCGTAGTCATGCCCGATGATCGACCCGATTGATGCGCTGTGATGGCAGGACATCTTCGATGCAAAATCGCGTCGGGCGAGGTGTTGGACTGAGAGGCGGTTGAGCCACGATCCAACGCAAGCCTCAACCGGGCAGTTGGCCAGTCAAAATTCAAGCCACTCGAAATTTCGATTCCGACTGCAAAATGCGAAGCCCCTGAGTGTGACTGCTCGCTTATCGTGTTGTGACCGCCAACAGCCAAACTTGACAGCTCGCGGTGGAAGCCGCCATGCCATCGTCACGCAACGCATCAAAACGGACAGGAGGAGAGGGCGAATGGGTGATTCTGCATCGGAATAGAAAAGAATAGAATGATGCCAAGGATCGAAGCAAGTCTCATGCGCACAAGCTGAGAGAGGCGGAGGGCGGGACGTACGGCGGATGCAGAGTAGATCGACCAGAACAGCGCTTGTGCATGCACGTTGAGGCTCCGTCCCACTTGCCTGTTTTGGAAGCCGAACCTGCTGCGACCCCCTCCCCTCCGCACTGCGGTGATAACACGGTCATGCAAGGCACTCGAGGGACGTGCAGTCGTGATGACGCCCGCAGCCACTTAGAGCTTCCTCGAGCATGGCCTCACCCTGCAGCCCAGTCCGCCCAGTCCGCCCAAACCCACCCCTGAGCACTTCATGTGCCGACTCTGCACTGCTCTCCGCTTTTTCACTTGCGCCGACTTCATCGACCATCCACCTTCTTGACCTCCACCATCTCATCACATCCAGCCCTTCTTTGACTCTGTTCTGTCTCTCGTTCACGCAAACCATCCCGACACCACCGTTCGAGGTTCGCCATGCCTTCCAAAGTGGCCTCCGCACCGGCAGCCATGTCGACTCCGCCACCAAAGAAGAAGAAGGGCGGCTTCTTTGGCTGTCGCTCCAAGCATGCTCTCGACTCGCTTCCACGAAACGCACGAGGCGACAACGCGGCCATCCACCGTCTGCAAGCACGCAACGTCTTTGCACACACTGCGCACACGTCCGACTCTTCGACATCCACCGCCGCGACTGCCTCACCCTTTGACGAGAAAAAGCTCCCCGAGGCCACAACTCTCACCTTTTCGCCACCAGAGACCGCGGTAGTTACGCCGATCAAGCCGCTGTATGCTCAGGAGGTCATCGATGGTGCAGAGGCTGCAACATTAGCTCACGAGCACTCGGTACCAGCCGAGGCTGAAGAAATTGAGGAAGAAGCACGGGACCTTGTGCTCGACGATATTCCACTTGCGCCTCCGTCGAGGCCAACAACGCCAGGCGCTGTGAGGAGCTTGAGCGTAGCGAGCAAGTCGGGGAGGATCAAGCGTTCGCTCAGCCTCAAGCGCAGCGGCAGCAGTGCAAGTGCGAGCCTCGTCGCGCGCGCGCCGCCCGTGAGCTCGGCCGACTTTGCCGACCTGCCCGAATCGTCCAGCTCGTCTTCGGACCTAACGCAGCGCGAGTCGCTGGGCGACATGGCATCCATCCGCAAAGCGCGAGGTCGGCACCAGAGCTCGGTGCTGCATCAACACACGATCGCCGATATCAGCGAGGACGACTACCTGACGCGCGAGACGACGCTCGTCGCTCCCGAGCCTGTGCTCAGTACCCGCACGTCGGCATCGGCGCTGTCATCGGCAGAGGCAGCAGGCATGCACGAGTCGGACAGCATGCGGGCAGTTGCGGCAGCCCTCGAGGGATCCAACGATTCGTACAGCTTCCAGCCTGGGCCTGCCGTCGGCACGCCGAAGCTCGAGCCGCCCTCGCCGACCAAATCGGCGTATGCGGCCGAGATCCGCTCGCAGCGCGCGCAGAGCGAGGATACAGTGGCCGAGCTCCCCGCCGCCAGGGGCTTCTGGGACACGCCTGTCGAAACGGAGGAGTGTGGACCTGGCCGCACGATTCCGTTCCAGTACGTGACCAACCTCGCGCGGCCGGTGTCGATTGCGTCGCTGCGTTCGCTCGCGTGTCCCAACACCCCGCCACGCACATCGTCGCGCCCGACCTCGCCGGACGGCACCTACTCGGGCACACCTTTGCGCGCCCAGCGCAGCTTCTCCAACTCGCCGCTCAAGCGCCAGGCGACATTCAACGGTTTCCCGCGAGCGTTCTTCCCGGGCTCCACTGCGCTGCGTCACTCGCCCAGTACTGCAAGCCACACGAAACGCAAGCCGGTGCCACAGGCCATTCCGGCGCTCGAATTCCAGCACCCCTCTCGCCCACAGGAGGACGAAGAGAATGCGGTGGAACGACAGCTTGGGTGTGCGAATTGCGGCAGTGTGTCGGACCAGCGCGAGTTTGCGGCGTTTGTAGCCAAGGGTAAGGCGTCGCGACGCACGCCTGCCAAGCAGTCGCTTATCCCCACCCCCTCGACGGCGTCTCTGAGGCGTAAGCGCACGGGCGCAGCCGACGAGACGCTCGGCGAAGCAACACTTAAGCGCTGGGGTCTCGCCGAAGCCTTCAAAGCCTCGACGCAGCAGGATGAGACCACGGCCGAGCCAACGCCCACATCGCCCGCACGACCGGCCAAGAAGATGGTCCCCGGCCCGGGGGGTGGGTACATCACCGACACCGCCAACGTGCGCTGGTGCTCGGCACTCGACGAGATCAAGAAGGCTCTCGCCGTCCCGGACGATGGCGAGGACGAAGAACACGCAGAGACTACCGACGCGCTGCGCGACGCCGATGCGCTCCTTGCAAAGCTCGGCGTCGAGACCAACTAGCTCGAGCAACCTCGATGAATCTTGTACAACACTGCAAACTGACAAGAGCGCGTGGATATCCGTGAGCAAAGAATGTGGTATTAAGCGCAACAAGCGACCCCGCGCACGGCGGTGGTGCCGCTGCTGGTGGTGTGAGAACATTGTACAAAAGTGTGAAAAGGACCGAGCAAAGCTGCGGCACCGAGTGTGGCGCCATGCTTGTATTTTCAGGATGTGTGGGGGATGTGGGAGGTGGGTGGAGGTACTCTAGCGAGCGGTGCCGGTGACGTGGTGAACCTCTGCGTCGTTAGGCAGGCGGGCAGGGACATCGACGGGGGAGAAAGCGGGGCTTCCAGTCGAGTGCTTCTCATCCGCATGCTCTGCGGACGAAGTGGACGCGCGTGCCTCGACGTCGTCGGCGCCGTACATTGCGTTTCGCTCGTTCTCGATCTGGTCCTGCCTCTCCTGTGCCAGACGCTGGGTCTCGCGCCTGCCCTCGAGGTAGAACTCGATCTCGTCCTCGGTCATCTGCCAGAACTTGTAGTTGCCGCTCATCACCTTGCGCATCCACGGCGGCAGAACTGCCCAGATGCCGGTCGAGTCGTCGTTGGCCGACACCATCCTCGCGCCCCAAGGCTCCTTCATCGTGTCCCAGCCATCGGGCACGATCCTGCCCTTGGAGATCTTGACCAGCGCCCAGGGGATGGCGTTGAGCGCAATGTAGCAGCAGATACCCGCAATCAGACCGTACGCAATGTTGAAGAACAGCGGGATGCCGACAATCGTAACAAAGGCGGGAATAGCATCGCCGACGTACGACCAGTTGACCTGCGCCGTGTTGGAAGCCATCATGGAACCGACGATGACCAGCGTCGAGCCGGTCGCCCACGAGGGGAACGAGGCGAAGATGGGCGCAAAGAAGAGCGAGAGGAAGAACATGAACGCCACGACGAGACCCGTGAGACCGGTGCGGCCGCCCTCGGCGATACCCGAGGCGGACTCGACAAAGGCGGTGTTGGGCGAGCAGCCGACGAGCGAGCCGATCGAGATGGCCACGGCGTCGGAAAGGTAGGCGGCGGACGAGCCCTCAAAGTCACCGGTGCGCGCATCCATGAGACCGGCGTGGCTAGCCATGGCGTACAGCGTACCGGTGGTGTCGAGCAGGTCGATGTAGAGGAACGAGATGAGAGCGTACCACACCTTGCCGTTGCTGTAGCCGGACCAGTCGATGTTCTTGGGACCGAGCAGACCGAGGCCGTTCCAGTTGGCGACCTGCTTGAAGTAGTTGAAGCGGTCGTCGCCTGCGGAGGTGTGCGGGAAGAGGGTGACCGAGGTGTTGCGCGGCCACGAGACGATCGAAACGAGCAGGATACCGATGAGGAAGGCACCCTTGACGCGGTACAGCAGCATGAGGGCGGTGAAGATACCGCCGAGCATCACACCGAGCCACACGGTGGGGGCCTGGAGCTTGTGGCTCATACAGAAGCCAGTGTCGGGGTCCTCGTACTGGGCAGGGCAGCCAGCCAGACCGATGAGATCAGAGGCATTGCCGCCGATGACACCGAGACCGTTGGGACCGAGACCGATGAAGGCAAGGAAGATGCCGATACCCGCACCCGTGCTAAGCTTGATGCTGTGGGGCAGCAGGCGGGCGAGCCACTGACGGATACCAAAGAGCGAGAGAATGAAGAAGATCCAGCCCTCGAGCCAGACGGCAGAGAGCGCCTGGCTGTAGGGGATGATACCGGTGCCGGCGGTTCCGACGATGGTGAAGGCGAAGTAGGCGTTGACACCGAGACCGGGGGCGAGGCCGAGGGGCATGTTGGCAAAGAGCGCCATGAGGAGCGTGCCGACGCAGGCCGAGATGGCGGTGGCAAAGACGTAGTCGCGGTTGAGGACGGCGGTGCACTGCTGGTACGCGGCGTCCTTGGCGCACACGGGGTCGTCGGCGGTGTTGGCGCACTCACACGGACCACCAGACGAGCTGAGAATGCTGGCGTTCACCGAGAGAATGTAGGCCATCGCGGCAAAGGTGACGAGACCGGCGCGGAGCTCGGTGAGGAAGCGCGAGCCAGGGCGCGACAGAGGGTGGCCAGACCCATCGAGGCGGAAGTAGTAGCCGACCGGCGACGTGGCGACGGCACGGTTGAGGTTGTTGATGAGCTCGGGAACACCCATGATGGCTGCTAAACCAATACTAGGATCTAGCTGATGGTGAGGGTAGTTGTCGATAAGCTGGTGCTGGCCGTGATGGCTGGCACAGATAGGAAGGTGGCGAAGAACGCTAGCCCGTTGTCAGTCAAGACACGAGCGGCGGAAGGGGCAGCCGAAAGGCGAGGTCGGTGAAAGGTGGTGAGGATGATGGGGGTGAGGAGGGAGGGACGAGCGGAACGGAGGGGATAGCACTATGTTAAGGGGTGCTCGCAGGGGGGAAGGGTCGCTGGTGGCAAGTTCTGCTGCTGTACAAGGGTTCCAGCCCCAACGCCATGCACGAGGGTTGGGCCGAATCTCATTCGCTGTGTGAGGCAGAGCGATACGACTGGCAAGGGTGCGCCGGAAGGAGATGCTGCCGGCTGGACGAGCAGCAGGTACGAGGCGAGCGAGAGCGCGCAGCGGAGCGCGAGGTTCAGTTGCTGATAGCGATCCGGAGGCCCAGTCAGGAAGGCCGAAGCTCCGCCAAAGCTTTCCGGCAGGGCCAACTCGAGCCAAACCGACAGGCGGTCGAGGGGCATGAAAAATGAAGAAAAATGAAAATGATTTTTTTTTCTCACTCCCTCCCGCCCCTCCTCACGCCACCCAAGGCGTGAGAGAGCGTCGGACGAGCTTTGTGCGATTCAGCTGGTGGCAACGACCGTGCGACCTGCCACTTTTCATTTTTAGTGGGAAATAAAAAAAAATCCATGCCCCGAACGCCGCTTGACAGGGCAAAGTAAATAAATAAACTTTTGTTCAGCCTTGCCCCTGCTGCCAACGCCTGGCTGAGAGCGTCCTACGGGATGCGCGCTTCCGCCCACCCAACGCTGCTTCTTCGCTTGACTTGGATCGACGTCGATGTGGTTGCCAAGGCTACATCCGAAGGACTAGTCTCTACGCGCCGCGCGCCTCTGCACTGTACAGTACGTTGGCGTAGAAGAAGCCCCACACACAGCATGCGAGCTTTGGTTTGCATCAAGATTCGGATCGAGAGCAGCTCTGCATTTTTTCTCTCGGAATCCCTTCCACCGGCAGCCCAGCTCTGGCGCGAAGCAACACGGCGGTGAATTTTCGGACTTCGGTTCTCACACCTTTTTTCGTCGTTGCATGCTGTCGTGGGCAGCGGACGAGGGGCAAATCGTTCTTTTCACCTCGGCTAGCCCCATCCCAGTGCCAGTGCGGCGGCGGCGGCGGCGGCGCAGCCCACTAACCAATGCGTCGCTCTTCGGCTGCCATGCAAGCGAGAGTCGTGCTACACGCCCTTGCTGGGAAGGGTTGCTGCTACACTAGGCGAAGATGCGCACGGCCGAGCCAATGCACGTCTGCACGAGCGCAACGATAAGCGAGTTCCTGCTAAACCCATTCGCGACCGCTCCCGTTCCAGCCCTCTTGTTTGCAGGTCTCTCGGCCTGCGACTAGAGTAGGTGCAGGAGGACGGGCAGAAAGCTGATCGTGGCGATTTCGGGCATCGTGGCCATCGCGCTCGACGTGCGACTGGTGTTCGCATTCGAGACATCCTTGCGGCCGCCGTCCACGAGGTGCAAAGGCGCGCCGAACTATGCTATCTCTGTGGCTGCCAATCACGCTCTTCGCGCGGGCTTTGAAACGACAACAAGCCGTGTCCTACCTGTCAAAGAAAAATCCCCCGGCTTGAGTGAAGAAAAAAAAAAATCTTGCTTCCAGAGCAGATCTGGTTCTGTCGGCCGGAAGCACGCTGCTCGTTGCCGCAGTCTTCCAACTCGAGCCTACTTTGTGCTCTTCTTGTTGTACGACGGTATCGACGGTGTTGACGACGCGGCCGAGATTGCCATGAACAAGGCGACACGACGTTCGGGAAGCATCTCCCACGTCAAAACGACACACATTGCAGAGAAGCAGCCACCCTTGTTGCAGCCACCAATAGCATCCGCGCGATGACCTTGAGTCTCGGCCATCTCCGAAAACTTATCTCGGTGCGCATGACTGTGTGCTTCCCGCAATCGCTTCGTTCCCAACCCCGCACGGCATCCCGGGCCCCCTTATCTCGAGGGCGATTACCCCGCAATCTCAACGCCACCATCGTCGGGACTCATTATCTATACGAGCCCTCCCCGCGTGACCCCGTGCGAGTAGGACCGCTCGGACTTGACCGAAGCACAAGCCAGCTTCATCCTCCGCTTCCCAGTCCGCCATCTTGCTCAAGCTGGGCCCGTTGCATCGTGAGCATCCCTCGTATCAGAGCGAGGCAAGGGGAGTGGCTTGTTCGCTTCCAGAACATCGCTGTCCTCGTATCGCGGCAACATCAGAATGCCACAGCGTATGAGGCTGGACTGCATCGCAACGCGGCTGCTTGCGTATCGGAGCCAGGTGCTGCTCCCGTGCATCGTACGTAGGTGCCAAGACTCCGACAGCTTGTCTCCCAGAAGTGTCATTGCGGTATCATTGTAACATGCCGATCCTCGTACAGTGACACGGCGAGCCTCCGACTTTTCGGCTGCTCAACGAGATGCTCCAAGTGCGAGCGTGGAACGTTCCTACCTGCACAAAGCGCACGTCCACACAGTGAGCGTGACGACAAAAGATAGACAGCTTCCCGCCCTGCCGCCTGCCAGGCAACACGGCGATCTCCGACTCGCACCTGCAGTGAGCCTGCGTCACTGCCAAAATGCTCAAGGTGTGAAAGTGTATCCATTGCAACAAGGCGAGTTCCGCATCTTAACAAAGTGTCTGCATATCAACAAGGCTAGACGCACTTCTGCTCGGCAGCGAGCGCCCAGAACTCGCCGCGGGCCTTAAGGAGGTCCTGCGGTGTGCCGCTCTCGATGGCGCGACCAGCGGACATGCAGATGATCTGATCGAACCCGATGATCGTGGCGATGCGATGCGCGACGGCGATGACGGTGCAGTCTGCGAACTGGGTCTCGAGGACGTTCTGCACAGCCGCGTCGGTCTCGACATCCATGGCGCTGGTCGCCTCGTCGAGCACAAGAATCTTGCGCTTTCGCAGCAGTGCGCGTGCCAGCGACAGCAACTGCTTCTGCCCGGAGCTGATGAACGACTTGCCCGTCAGCAGCACCTCCTCCAGCCCGTTGTCCTGCTTCTTGACAAACTCGGCCAGATGGCACTTGTGCAGCGCATCCCACATCTCCTCGTCGCTGCATACACCCTCGGGGTCCAGATTCTCGCGAATCGACGCCGCCAGCACCAGCGGATTCTGCGCGACGATCGTCATCTGCGACCGAAGCTCACGTGCGCCCATCGCGCTGATGTCGCGTCCGTCGATTCGGATCGCTCCCGATCGCATCTCGATCATCCGGAACAGCGCCAGCAGCGTCGTGCTCTTGCCCGATCCACTGCGTCCGACAATGCCCAACCTCTGCCCAGCCTGCAGTGTGAAGCTGAGCTCCTTGACCGCAGGCTCGAGATCCGCGCCGTATGCGACCGTGACGCTGTCGAACTCGATATCGCCTCGAATCGTCTCGCGCGCATTGTCATTCGTAAGCTTGCGCTCCGGGCTTGCCTCTTCCTCAGGCTGGAGATCCGTGAACTCGCGCACGCGCTCGAGCGCCACGCCGGCGATTTCGACTTCGGTGATGCTGATCACGGTGTGGTTGAGCATGATACCGAGCGAGGTCGCCTGAACCAGCGCCACACCAAACAGACCTGCCTTGGACGAATGACGCAGCACCACCACCAGCAGCACCAGCATCACGTTGACCACCGTCGTCAACAGCAGCAGCCACGTCTGCAGCCACCTGCGCACCGCAAACAGGTGGTAGTAGGGCGCCTGCGAAACGTCGAGCGACTGCGTATTGAGTTCCACCAGCGACGCCTCGCGCTTCAGTCCACGCACCGTCGCCAGGCCCGACGGCGACGACGTTTCCGAAAAGAGCGAGTACAGCGGACTCTTGGCTGCCATCTCGAGCCGACGTAACTGTCGACTCGACGGGATGTAGAGTCGCTGCAGCGCCCACGAAAAGCCAATCAACCCAACAGCCAGAGCGGCCAAGTACGGTGCGGGCACGATCATGGTGATCAGAGCGCCGACCACGCCACACGCAATAAAGACCAGGTTGGTCAACGCCTGGGTAAAGGTCTGGTCGAGGTTGTACAAATCCTGCGAGAAGCGGTTGGTGATCTGGCCCGAGCTCCACTTGCTGAAGAACGAGATGGGCGCCGAGAGCACGCCTCGCAGCTCGCCGGCGTGCAGCTTGTTGCCGGCCGATTCGACGCAGTAGAGCGAGATGACCCAGAATCCCAATCCGAGAGCAACAGCGTTGCCCGGGATCAACGCGACGAAGCCGGCAATCCAGGCACCCAGCGCCTTGAACGGGTCGCGCTGCTGCGAAGTCGCCCAGGCCTGCAGGAGATAGGTCGTACCGATCTGCGCCACTGTCGAAAGCACACTGCAGGCGACAAAGGCGCCGAAGTTCCAGAGACCCGCCGCCCTGGCCCAGTTGGCATAGACGCCCCAACCGACGGAGCCCGTCATGACTGCCTCCTGCTTTTCCGCAGCTCCGCTCTTGACGGGCTTGTCGTTGGCAACGTCAGCCGCAGGCAAGGCCCTCTTCGAGTCGAGACTGGCGCGCGAGATGGCATCCTTGCCCTTCAACGAGAGCTCTTCATACCGGCCCTGCTCGGCGATCTTCCCGCCGTCAATACGAACGATGAGCTGCGCGTGGTGCAGCAAGTGCACGGCATTGGTAGCCATGACCACCGTCTTGCCGCTCAGCAGGCCCGAGGGACCCATGAGCGACCGCCACATGTGTGCAGCCGTCTCGGCATCGAGAGCGCTGGTGATATCATCGAAGAGGTACGACTCGGCATCGCTGTAGATGGCACGCGCCACGGCGACACGCTGGCGCTGACCGCCACTGAGCGAGCTTGCCGTAGTAGCATCGCCCTCCTGCAAGCCGTCGATGTCCTCCAACAGCGCACATGCACGCAGCGCGGTCGTGTATCGCTCTTCGTCGTACTCGCCCGTGGCAAAGATGATGTTCTCGCGAATCGAGCGCTTCTCCTGCAGCCAGATATCTTGGCTGACGTAGGCGATGCGATCGGCGAGGAGCGGAAGTTGCTGACTGCCGCTGAGCAGGTCCGACTCGCCGAGCATGGCCTGCAGAAGCGTCGACTTGCCCTGACCCAGACGACCGCAGATCATGGTCAGCGATCCACGAGGGACCTCCAGATTGACCTGCGACAAGACCGCTTGATCCTGCCAGCCAAGCTCTGCGTTCTGAAAGCGGGCGGCAAATCCAGACGGCTCCCGGTCTGCGCTCGACGCCGCTGCTGCTCGAGCCGCAAGCCCTTCATCCACCGCGCTCTGCACGTCCGGCTTGTCTTCGCTGTTGAGGAACTCCTCGATACGTCGCATACTGGCATAGGCCTGGAGGAGGTACGAGTACTCTTGGCCGATCTTGAGCAGCGGATCCTGCAGCACGTCGAAGATGGTGAGCGTAGTGATGATGGTGTTGAGGTCGAAGCGGGACGAGCCACTGAGCTTATCGACGATGATGAGTGTGATGAAGGTGGACAGACCCAGCATCTCGCTAGTGCAGTTGGTAAAGACAACCACACCGGTGACCTGCTTCATCATGTTGCTGCGAACCGACAACTCGTCGGCACGAGCCTTGCAGATCTTGTCGTGGAGGACGTCTTCGTATGCCGAGAACTTGACGCCTTTGATGTCCGAGGTGACGCTGGCGGTAAGATTGACACGCTTGTCCGTCTGGCTGCTCCAAGCAGCTTGCTTGGCGCCGATGCCGCGGCTCGCCAACGGGGTGAGCAGGAAGCAGGCAAAGACGGACGCCATGGACGCGAAGAAGACGAGACCAAGCTGATTATAGAGCAGATAGACACCGACGGCAATGGTGATCACACCGCTCCACAGCGAGTGGATGACATCGACGGCCTTGACTACGCGCTCGCTATCGACACTCATCAGATTGGCCGCCTTGCCGCCGCCGCTGGTACGCGCAGTGCGGAGATGCAGGTTGAGACCCTTGCGGTAGATCGCTTCGATGTACGCTCCTCGAAGTCGCGTCATGAGCTGCGAGCTGGCGTACCAGTATTGACCAGTGGCAAGTGCCTGTCCGAGATAGACAAAGGCATAAGCACCCACCAGACCCCATCCGTAGACAGCAGGCTGTGCCGCGGAAGGTTGTCCGCCCTCGCTGACGTCGGAGTACGATTGGACGAAAGCAAGGGTAGTCGAGACGAGCAGCGGTTGGGCTAGCTCTGTGGCGGTGAGCAGCAGCTTCCAAGGGACTGGCGCAAGAGCGGCAAGAGGAAAGGCGTGCAGGGTGGCGTGCAGCAGACTACGCGACACCCTCCTCTTGGGGAACGAGGCGCGCGTGTAGGGAGGCATAGCTTTGGGTACCGATCCATGTGCACCCGATTCGAATTCGGACGCAGAAGTACCGAGCTTCTCGAGCGGGTAGGCTTCGCTGCTGGTGCGCGAGGGGCTCTGTTTGAGGTCGGCGATGTGTCCCGTATGTGCGAGGTGTGCGTGCTCCGAGGCATCCGATCCCGAGTCGGGCTCGATCGGCGCGCCCGTCCAGCTGGCGATAAAGGCGCGGGCAAGAGAGCGGCCATGATATTCGGGTTTCAGCTCGTCGAGGTCCTGCATCTCGAGTGGCTTGCGCAAGCCAGTCCAGAGAAGCGGGATGACCCAGATGAAGAGGAGGCGCGAAAAGAAGCTCGCGCGAGACTCGTGGCTGGACTGGAGCTGCGTCGAACGAACGCCGTTGGCATTCTCGACCGAAAGCATGAAGGCCTGGCAGGCAAAGGTGAGGATGTAGACGTGGAAGAAGGGGCTGTATCGGATCGCCGGGACGGCATTGAAGGTTCGAATGCGGCAGGCGGTGAAGAAGAGGGATGCGAGGAGCCACAGAGGAAGAAGCATGTAGCCTCCACGCGTCTTTCGGCGCTCTGCCACCGAAAGGGGCACGGCGAGAAGAGCGGTGAGGAATGCAAGCACGACGCTGGCCATGCCGGTGCTGTCGTCGAGAGCATGTCGGAGCGAGCGAGACGAGGGCGCAGCAAGGACCGCGACGAGCACCAAGCTGAGGATTGCATGAACGACGTAGACGAAGGCGCCGAAGAGGCTGATGGGGTCCGAGTGGGGCGTGCACGAGCGCAAAAGCGAGAGATGGGCCTGGGCGGATGCGGTGGGGATGTCGGGCTTGCGGCGCAGGCGCACGAGCCTGACGGTCATGAGGAGCAGAGCGAGGCATGACGGCAGAAGCACGAAGATGGCGTTGGAGAAGGCGATGGTGAAGTCGAAGAAGCGGCAGTCGGAGACAGGCGTAAAGACGCCATCGTTGCACGCCGCCATCGTTCTTGAACCTGGAAGACGTGCGGTCCCCAAGAATGGAGGTTGTGGATGAGGATAAGGAGGGACAGACGATGTCTGATCAGCCTCGATGTGAGGGCCGGCTTTTCAAGCTATCTGGATCGGAAACCAGTTGGGCCAGCACAGATGTGGTGCAAAGCTGAGTCGCGCCGGCGCAGCCACGAGCATCGATTTGGGGG